GGTATGAGATTTTGCTTAGGTTTATGTTTTCTACTGGCTGCGCCGCGAATTACTGGACACCCTATATAAATACACACATACACGATCTCTTCTAACAATGTGTCTGTAACAAATCACTCAATGCCAGAAAAGCACATGAGATGTATTTATATTGCGTTAGACTTAACTAAATTATATTATGTATATATAAAAAGAACTATTATATTGTTTTATATGAGAATATAACACAATGTGCTTACTTCTCTGAGATGTACTAAAATAAACTTAACTTGACATACTATATTGCAATGCATACTTCAGGTAATTCAATAGAGAAATCTAAATAGATTTTCTTACTTGAAACACCGAATTTTCTTTAACACGCAACCAATATTAATAATATTGTACATTTTTCATTAAAATAGTGAAAATTCTTGCATATAAGAAAGGTACCTAGAGAGGGAAAAAGGGAGGAAGGATCATGAAGTATTAAAGGAAAGAATAAATAGAGAATGCCGTCCCGTTTGACACAAAATGTTTCTAATTTAATAGTAAAATGTTAGCTTCGTGTGTGTTAACAGCAAAATTTTATTTCGCGCCAAGAATAAAGATAAGGAATTCCGTTTCATGCGATTAGATCATTCCGCTTCACACGCTTCTTCTTTTTTTTGCTGTACACAAATATGTTTCTAATTTTAACTATTATGCTTAATTAAATCAAACTTTTGGTTTGATCGAATTTCTTATTAAATTTAATTGTTGGAATTTGCGATGATAACATATTATGGATGTTACTTTCTTGTCGATCTGAGCACTGTAATTTTCACTAATCGATACATCCTAAGCTACAGTGATTCTAATCACGGTGTAAGATTCAGAATTACAATGTAATGATGAGTTGTGTGATCGTTGACTGATTTACATTCATTTATAATTACTGTATATCGTGTTCTTTAGTTAAAGCACGTACGGTCGAATCGTGAAAATAAATTTGTTATGTCTGAACGTATATTAATCCCAATAAAGATTCAAACAATCCCCTCGAAAATTTCCGCAGAATCAATTCATTAATAAGTTTTATATTTCTTGTTACACAAAAAGTTGCTAAAATGAATTCTAGGATTAGATTTAGCGCTTAAAACGAATTATTTTTTTTCGCAACCTACAAAGAAAAATATAACGTATTGCAAATTATATATTGATATGTGAAATTTTGCACGCGTTTATAGCCGATATCAATAACTGATAACACAAAAATATACCTCTTAAAGAAACACGTGCACAACAATGTACAGCTTAGAAATAAAAACATAGTAACAGTAGATCATTTTGTAATAAAGATCGACTTAACATATTTAACAATGTGTCTGTATATTTTAAAGTATCTAATGTTATATTAAATATATATTTTACGTATATACTCTCTCTACGTTTTCCAATATCCAAATGTGACTGTTCGCTACGTAAACTTATCGAATCGATATGCGCTCCCTTGTAAAAAGCATATTTACTCCTCTATTACTTTCTGAGTATTTTGATATTAGCACAAGTATCAAAGAACGAAAGTATTAGCACTTAACTAATAAACATAAAATCTCGGAAATGATATAGTGCAGCATATACCGTTCCTCTAAAATATCAATATCACTGGGTTATCGCGTGTAGTTTTGTAAATCTCACGCATAAATTAAAGTTGCAATGCGCCAATGTACAACTTCCAAAGCTTTCTTAATAAGCTATATATTAGTTATTACAATTCGTAAACTTATATACATCCGTATATATGGGTATTATAATAATGCTTATCACAACAACATACTATTTTCCTAAGAGAATCAATATTTAATTAACACTCAATCGAAACATGAAGACAAGTTTTACAAACAGCCCCAACATGTGTCTAATACCTAGTCTTAAAATCGAGTGTGTGTATGTATATGTGTGTGTGTATGTGTGTGTACATACACACACACATATACATACACACATACTCTATGTATATATGTATGTATGCATGTATGTATAAAATATTATTAGAGTCCGACAAAGTTCGACTGCATAAAATAAATATATTTCCAACATAAAATGTACAGGTCAAACCTCGATATTTCAAGACGCTTAATTATTTTGTTTTTTTTATAACTTTCATGATTAGCTTTTCTTTTCCTTTATGATATACATATATCTCATTCGACCAACAATTACATATGATCTTTTATAATATAGCAGACAGATCTCATGAATATTTAAACTAATACAGAATTAAAAAAATGTTACCTCTCTGTAAATAGCATAGTCCTTTTGTATATAATTATGTAAATTTTTTTTTAAATATAATTTTTCACAATTTTAGAATCTACGTTGTCACGCGCATAATTAGTGCATACAATTCGTATATATCGTTTAGATAATAAAAAGGAAAGAAATCGATAATTTGTAATTATTGAATGTCTATATTCGAATCATGCACAATTATATTAAAACTCTTCTGCAATATCACACGCGTAACGAATGTAAATAATTTAAAATAATAAGAGGCATCAATTAATTTATTTTGACAAAAATCACAATTTACGGACAATACGAAGATAATCTGTAATTGATATATCATTTATTAAGCACTTCACAATCTTCATTATCTTTACGATGCTCTGTTTAATGATTGACTAAGAGGGAACAATATGGTAATAATTATATGGTGAATACCATACAGATTATATAACGTCATTTGGTTCATCGAACTCCACTATTTCATCATAGTCTCGTTACTGCAGTGTCATGATTAACAAACACGAATACGAAAATTCTAATTAAATTTGTACGCCAAATTGTTATGAGATCTGTGTGCTACGAGGGAAAAGACTTGAATATCGAGATTTCTCAGTGAGAGTATCGACTTCACCTGAACTCGTAAATTTGTATACTATGTTCCGGCACATGTCTCAGATTCAACGACTGATACCTGAAACAATAATACAATTATAGTATCAATATATAACATAACTGCATAAAATAATAATACAATATAATTATGGTATCAATTAGCACGATCGAATTTCATTGGATTATTTCACACGTTAACCATAATTCTACATATTTTTGTTTAATGCAAATATCACTTGTGTATGTTTAAAGAGATCAAATATCATTATTATTATTAATTATCATATCTCTAAAATTCGAAACTACCAGAATGAGTAAATTGAATATTCAGATTTGGAATAGTTTATAATTCAACATATTTTTGTTCGATGCAAATAATAGTTGTACATTAAAATAATAATCGTATATGAAAAATATAAATGTTGCCAATTATTATTACTAATTTTTCATATCTCCAGAATTCAAAACTGCTAAATCAAGTAATCTCAGGATGGGAATAATTCATAATTCAGTATACTTTTGATCAACATAAGTATCACTTGTGCATTCAAAGACCTAAGTATTGCCAATTATTATTACTATTATTAATTTCTCATATCTCTAAAATATTCAAAACTGCTGAATCGAGCAAGTCGACAATCAGAATGAAAATAATGATGTATATGTGTATGTATAACTTGTTGTCGCTTTACCATTCAGAACTACGATGATAATAAAAGCCCTCTATCGAGGCAGCTGATTTTTGGAAGCAAATATAGTAGAATCCCGCGAAGGAGGCACCGTTGATATCTTTGATCGTGTGGTCAGGAACCAGAAAGTGTTCTTTCCACCTCATAAATACAAAGTCGGTCCCCTTTAAAGCCTCATAATCGAACGTGTCGGAATTGAATGATTTGGCATACTGACAGAACGACTCGAACTTACTCTGCAACGAATAAGGAAAAGAAAAACAGAAAATAAAAAGGACACAAACGAATGATAACCCAATGATAGCGACTCAGCATAGATAAAAGTTGAAAAAAAACAAACCCAGTGCTTCTTGTCAACATCCTCGTCAGCGTCCCACTTGCGGGTGAGAAACGGATATTTTTTGGAGATGATCTCGCCGTCGAAGAAGGTTGTCAGCGTCGGGAACTCTTCTGTGAGACCCTTGATCTTTAGGTAGCCGCAGAGGTAACTGTTCTCCTCGTCCACGTGCTGTGAACACGAAGAATCGTGGAATGAAGACGCGCGCGTCGCGATCGCGGCTGATCTCGGCGCGTCTGACATGTATCACGGGGGAACGCCGTGATCAACGTGACTGTGATCGATCGGTATACGGCGATCGTTGCACGCCAATAACGAGCTGTCAACGTGCCGCGCGCTAGGGAGACACGCGCCGCTCGCAACGCGTCATAGGTTACCTCGTGCGATCTAGATCGCGCGCGCGAAGCCACGACCCTCTCTCGTCCTGCGGCTGGAAGTCTCGGAACAACAGGGAGAAGGGTGCACCGAGGAGGGAAAGAAGAAGAGATACGAAGAACAGGACGAGGAGCGTCAGCGACGACGGTGGTGTCGTCATCGTCGGCGGAACGATCGTCTCGCGCCGTCGTCGTCATCGTCATTATCCGCTCGCGCCTCAACGCGGAGGCGACGGCGAGGTCGCACGTACTCCAACGTTGTGGCGCAATTTCTGAAAAGTGACGACAGAAGCGACGACGAAGGTGCGGAGGCGGTGGTGGACAACGGGCGCGGAAGAGGGCGCGGGGGCCGACGGGCGGAGGACAGGAGGCGGGGGGGGGGGTTATGGCTAACCTGCAAAACCACCTCTACGTCGTAGCTGTTGCCTTTGGACTTTTGCGAACCCTGGAAGCGCGAGCCGTTGTAGAGGAGGGATTTCGTGACACCCGGCTGCTTGGAATTTGCGGGCGGCGGCGGCACCACGTCGACTTTCACCGGCATCCTCCTCCCCGAGCGGAGACCCCGAGAGCGAGCTACGAGCAATTAATCGTAGTCCACGACGGCGACGATAACGACGACGGCGACGCGCGACGCGGCGCCCCGCATATCACGTCGGAGAAAGACTGCCGTCGCAATGACTGCCGGTAATCCGCGGTATATGGACGTTTTTATACGCGTTAGCCTCGAACCCAGACCGCGATGGTCGCGCGGCTCTATACATATGTCGTGGGGAACGGGCGCTGCGACTGATCGCGCGATCGCTCGTTTTGTCTTTTGCGATGTCACGTTTGTTAACGCGTCAATGCGCCGCCCTCGCTGTCGACATCGATGCGATTGTCCTCGCGTCACGTGCTTCTCGCGTAAAACGATCCGCCGCAAGTTCTTGCGCTAGAACACGCGACATTCGCGCGTATCGTCTCTCTCTTTCTATCTTGCCTCTCTTCTCTGCATTCTCTATGCGATAGTTCCTATGGTGCGTTCCACATGGCGCTTGCAATGATCAGAGATCGAGGGTCTAAAGCCCGTGTCACATTACGGATTGGAAATTTAGGGTACATACCCATGCAGCGAAATAGAGGAGCGTGGAACGAGAGTGGAACCAATCATGAGCGTTCCACAGTTTTTGCTCGTGATTGCTTTCGCCACTGAAATATATACTATCTGGAACGCGCGCTACCTCTTGAGTATTGCAGGATGAGAGAAAGCATGCTTGTAGGTCTCGAACAGCGCTCTGTCTTTGTCTAGTACAGTCTGAACCAAAAGCTAATGACTCCTGCACACAGGACGCAGTAATGGCTCTTGGGGGTCGATTGTGTATCTTGAAACGAAGTAAAAATTACAAAAGCAAATTCACTAGGCATTGACCAATGAAGTTATTACAAATATTCTAGTAAATTTGTTTATTTTTGTCATTTTCATTCCATTTTGAAATACACAATCGACTCCCTGCATACAGGACGCGGTAATGCTTGCCGCGCGGCGGAAGTTCGCGTGACAGCCAATCAATATGCTGCTTTCCGTAATAACCTTCTAGTTCTTACGGAAAAACAACATATTGATTGGCTGTCGCGCGGACTTCCGCCGCGTGGCAAACATTACCGCGTCCTGTGTGCAGGAGCCATTAAGCTTATGAATAAAAGTTGTATGGCTCCTGCACACAGGACGCGGTAATGCTTGCCGCGCGGCGAAAATCCGCGCGACAGCCAATCAATATGCTGCTTTCCATAATAACCTTGTAGTTCTCATGGAAAAACAATATCTTAGATGCGTTCTTTTATTCGCAACAGATACAACCCGATGCATCCGATGCATAATTTAATCGTTCTGTATATCCAGTTGCGCACATCAAGCTATAGACTGCGTACATCTTGACCGTTCTTCTTGATTCATTTTTTAATTTAAGTTGCAAGCAGAATCATGCAACTGCTCGCATCCCAATCCAAGCGGCTGCCAAAAAATTGTAGCCTGAGTTTCGAATATGAAGGAACCTTAAGTACGAATACGGTTCTTTGGTGTGCAGAAAGTAGTGCGTTTCTCAGACAGTACAATATTTATGATAAATATTTGTTTCGAATTATTTCTTAAAAATATTATATAAATATAATATAAATATTTTATATACATGAAGGAAAAAGTATCAAAATCTTTATTAAAAATATTATTAAAATACAGAGTAAATATATTATAGTAAACGAAAAATAAATATTTGTAGTAATATTTTGTAAATATATCTATTTATAAATATTATATATGAAAAAAATAAATATAATTATTTAAAATTATTAAATTAATAAAAAAATAAGAAATTCGAATCTCAGCAATGGTAAGCAAATTTTCAAAGTACAATTTAAATTTAATTAAGTAGCGTGTGAAACAATAAAATAGAAATTTTAAGAAAAATTCAAGAAAAAAGAAAAATGTATAAAAATGTATATATTTTAATAAATATTTTTATAATATTTATGAAATAAATATTTTTCATCTATTGAATCTAAGGTCAAAAATATTTTGTAAATATATTTGTAAATATACTTATGAAATATTTTAGTAAATATTCATAAAATATTCAAATAAATCTTATAAATATTTTGTGCTGTCTGGGTTAATGAATGAAAAGGATAGAGAACAATAGTAATTGATCCCACACAGCAGAGGTGTTCAAAATATATCACAGGGATATCCTAAAGATATATTTGGGATATGCGATATCTTTAAGATATCCTTGTGATATATTTGGGACGTTCCTGCTGTGTGGGATGTAATATCCCAATGAAAAATTTTTCATATATAATTATATAAAATTATATAAAATTATATATAATTATATATTATTATGTATCAAATTTGTCCATTCATGTTCATACATTCTACTTATATATATAATTATATATATAAATTCATATATAATTTTGCATAATTACGCATAAATTTATATGTAATTATACATATTGTTGTACATAATTGTGTATAATTATATATAATTTTATATGATTATATATAATTATACATAATTATGTATGGACAAATTTCATACAAAATTTTGCATGAAAAATTTTTCATCGGGATGTTCAATAAATGTACAAAAATATGTATTAAATATAATCGAAATATTACAATCTTAACAAAAAAAGACATAACTTAACAAAGAAAGATATAACATAGGAGTAACAAGAGTAACAAGAGACGTGTTACGTCGGGAGCGTGCCGATTGACCACGATACGATTGGACACAACCAACCGATGAAAAGAATTATCTAGTGAATTACTAGGTCGAACCAATCATTACAATCTGTGTCCAATCATATCGTGGTCAATCGGGTCCCACCCGTACGTCTATATTATATAACAGTAATATTTTGTGTTTGCTGGGATAATTGTAGTAAAAAAATATGGAAAAATTAATTTATTAATGAGTTGTAGGTGGATACTGCAAATGTGAGAGCTACTAGAGGTTTGTTTGTAATAACAGCATCTGAAATTAATTCTAAGGACTCTTTATGCTCTAATAACTGGCCATGTTCCATGTACTAAATCGATTTCAATTAATGACATTTTTTATATTATTTAATATTATTATTAAACTGCCTCTCTCTCTCTCACAATTTTTATAAAGGCAATACTGATACATTTAGAGGAAAGTAGCCAAAAGCGACATAGGCTTTCTAAAACGACATACCTCTATATCTCATGTATGAAATGTTGTATTTTATCAAAACTATTATAAACGTAATTCGTTTTACAGTAAAGTCATGAAAAAGTCATACTTGGTATATTTCTTGTTTTTTTATATGCTAAATTAGCAAATATTGAGTTTTAGAAATTCGCAAGTTTTATTTCTATGATTTTTATTAGCGAATTACGTAGACTAAACATCGATAATTATCTTTTTGTTCAACATTAAGTTCTTCTAGATGCACTTGAAAAATTTTATGAGAAGTGTTTTAAAGTGACATATAGTATGCGATAACTACGATAGTCTGTGACTAACATAACCTGATTCTAACCTCACACTGTGAAGTGACATGTGTTGTATATGAACTTACTCTGCTGCAATAATGTAAATGTAAATCATTTTCAATAATTATTTGTAATTATATACATCAGTGAACACTAACATAAATATTGCTTTTAAATAAAATAAATATTATTCAACCATTAAACGCATTAACGAACTATTTATCATCAAATATTATTATATATGCAACATGTTATATAACTTCCAATAGGTATGTCGCTTTTGGCACCCATTTTTTTTGAACTCTATTTTCGTGCGTTTTAGAAAAATATTTTTTTGTTTTAAGTCTAAAAACAATTTCAGTAAAAATGTGATATTATCTGATAGAGGATACTTCCAATTACATGTATATATAATTACATTCATATTTTGAGCTTTATATTAAGACATAACCTTCAAAAACAAAGTGATATGTCGCTTTCGGTGCCTTTACTGATTGGGACCCGACGTCGGACATCGACGATCCAATAGCCAATAGGAAAATTTATTTTCTAGGGACAGTATATCACTAGCTAGTAACTTTAAAAAGTCTTTAACCTCTAAAAACAATCTTGATGCATCCACGAGATGCATTCAGCTACATCTGCTGCAAATAAAAGAACACAACCATTGATTGGCTGTTGTGCGAACTTCCACCGTGCGGCAAGCGTTGCCGCGTCCTGTGGGCAGGAACCATTAGGATATAAAAAAATATGTAGATATATTTTTTCTTATTTATTAGTATTCACTTATCGACTTATTAAGAAAAACAAAGCAAAGATGGTTCCTATTCGGATATTCAGCTATGTTAGAAATCAGCCGACTTAGCTTTTGGTTCAGACTGTACTAGACAAAGAGAGAGCGCTGTTCGAGACCTACAAGCATGCTCTCTCTCAGCCCGCAACACTCAAGAGGTAGCGCGCGTTCCAGGTAGTATATATTTCAGTGGCTACAGTAGCAGTACTTTAAAAACGCACTCCATGTAGAGGACGGGAATTTAGACGCTGCACTGTCTATCATCCAGCAATGGTGCTCGATCGCGATCTAACGTAACCTGACTTTTCTTAATGTCAATTGATGCCAATGCAAGTATGGCGGACTTTGGCGACACGAATACGCACGAAATGACAGAGAATCATGTTCACAAGCGGTGCAATAATCAGTGGGTGCGACTGAACGTGGGCGGAACATATTTTTTAACGGCGAAGACCACCCTGACGAGAGACCCAAATTCGTTCCTCTACCGGCTGTGCCAAGAGGACTCAGACCTTATTTCGGACAGGGTTAGTTGACACTGTTTCTTACCGGGAATTTCAAACAGGTTTGGTCGAAGTAAATTTGCCTACAACGTAATCCTACGGTCTATCCGTAAGCTCATGCTAGCCTAAGCGGGTCGCATGTTTTGCCGCACGCAGATGTTACCCGGTTGAACGGAGTTGAACGGTTGTGTGAATGCTTTGTTTTTAAGGACGAGACGGGAGCGTACCTGATAGACCGCGATCCCACGTACTTCAGTCCGGTTTTGAATTATTTACGCCACGGCAAGCTGGTCATCAATAAAGACCTTACCGAGGAGGGTGTGCTGGAGGAAGCAGAGTTTTATAATATTACCGAGCTCATTCGGCTAGTCAAAGAAAGAATTATAGTAAGGGATACTCGGCCACAGAGAGACTCCAAGAAACACGTCTATAGAGTCCTTCAGTGCCACGAGGACGAGATAACGCAAATGGTGTCTACTATGTCGGACGGATGGAAATTTGAACAGGTATAACTAATGGTCTTCTTTGCAGCTAAACTGTCTGCACCAGTTTGCACTAGTTATTTTTCTTTCTTACACCAAATCATAGCTATATATCTGTTTCTTCTTAAATTCCAAAAATGTATATTAGCACAGTTTCAAAGAACAAATCTTAATTGTCTTTTTAAGGATATATTACTCATGCAAGAAGTTGTTAGAAATACATCAATATTTTCATTTTCCATATGAAAACATGTATATTATGTGTATATATGTACATACATGCACACATACATATACACATTGCTAAAAAAGGATTCAAGACTTACAGAGTAGATAGTATTCATTATAAGGTAACGATCCTAATTTTGGGCTATTCAAAGTTACAGTAATTTTTATTCATTTACATAAGTTTGTCAATCAAACATTAAAAGGAATTATTGATACCAATGTAAGCAACAAATATTATAGTATCAAAACCAAATTATTAGATTTTAAAATGATTAATTCTACATTTAAAATTAAATAATTTGAAATATTTGTGCGTAAGCCCCAAATATAGGTCCAATTATAGGTCAATAAATATTTTGTGTCCTTATAATGAGTTATACAATATTCAATTTCATATTAACAATAATGCCCATATTCATTGTTTTACTTTATACAGAATACAGATGACATTAGCACACAATCTATTACATAACATAATCTACATATTGACAATTTTATAAATCTAAACAACTGATAAATCAAACAGTAGACTATGAACTTTTTCTTTAATATTATACAATATAAATTGTATATAATATTTATATATTGTTTATTCTCTCTCTGAGATTATATATATGTACATATATTATATATATATATATATATATATATATGCACATATAAATAACAATATTATATAATTTCAGGATACGATTGTAAAAAAATTAAAAAAAATGTTGTCTGTTTTTAATCATAATTTGTATTGTTTTAATATTAATAATTTAATAATATATTTATAATTAATAATTTAATTAATAAAACATACTTAAGATGTGAAATTGGGACTTCAATCATAATTAAGACCATTAATTGAGTAAAAAATGTTTAGTAATATAAATTGAAAACATGGATTGAAAAATCAACTCTTAAAGTTACAAATGTTTTATGTTTTTGGTGATACAAGTTGTTTGTATGCTTCTATTGATCACACGCAGTGAATGAACGCCAACGACTCACTATACTTATTACATTAACACTATACTTATTACATACACAATCTCACTATACTTATTACATTAACACTTATTTGGAAGGTGTTTATATGTCCTCTTTCAAAAATTTCTGATCTTTTTTGAATCAGAAAAGAACTATACATACTTGGTAGGTAATCTGATGGAATGAGAGTCTACACTCATTAGATATAATATTGATATAGTATTAATAAAGGATTTGTAATGATAATAGGTTGTTTATGAAAAACTTGCTACATAAAAGAAGCAGTAATTCCTGTTACAGTCTAAATAACTGATGTTTGGATTTACTTCTACCGCTCTAGAGTGTCCTGAATACTCACCGCGGCCATATTGGATTGATGAAGCGAGGAAAATCATGCCCAAAATTCCTGCAAATCACAGTTAAATAAAAAGATATATCATTCAAATGATACTTGCAATCTATTCTGCATACTTGTGAGATACTCCTGATACTTTTCTTTTGTCGAAATAACTTTTACATAGCCGCAAAATAAATGCGACAAATCGCTTTGTTTTGATAGGAAATCAGCTATGTGACTCTATTCCCAATATGACCAAAATTTACTTGTACGCATTAAATATCACAATAAGCATAGTGTCCGGAGCATTTTCACAATTTTACGATTGTGTCACACGTGACTTGCACGCACTATATTTAGTAATAATGCTGTGGTTTGCAGGAAAAAATTGGTCGTCTGTTTACATCATTAGGTCTGTCTGTTTTCGATGAACTTTTGTACTACTGCAATAGTTTGCACTAGTGCAGAAATTTTTCGGAAACGAACGAATCTATTTTCCCCTAATAATTCATTATTTTGCCGTTTACAATCATGTCGTCACCGTCAACGCGGAGTTTTAGGTACTCTTAACGACAGTATCGTTGTCATTATGTTATCGTTGCGCAGTTTTTCTATCATATTAGCGCAAGGACAAAACGATAATGAGCTCGATTCAGTCGTTAATGAAGCTCTTTGAACAGCGTGTGAGATGAAATTAAAATGATTTGGATATCTTTGTCATAAAGACATCGTGAAGTTGTCGTGTAGATCGATTCTCTAACTTATCATAACGACGGTGTTGCTGGTATGTTGTGTTGTTGCGCAGCACTTTTCTACCATGCATACCTGTGCTGTGCTGGGATTCTGTAACTCGTTATTGGAGTTAACGACAGTTTCGTTATCGCTGCGTAGCTTTTGTATACTGTAGAAAAGTTGCGCAACCATAACGAAACTCCAATAACGTGTTACAAAATCCCAGCACTGCGCAACAACATAACGATAACGACTTTGTCGTTAAAAGTTATAAAATTGGCTTAGTAAAATTTTTTCATTGGCAATACATACATAAAATGCATGTCTGCCATTTCCCGATTGTAATTAACAAGTCGGCATAATTGAGAGAATTCTTGTTACCGCGTCTGTTGAACATTGTGCGATCACCAATCATAAGGGGACAAGTGACTATACTGTACTGAAGCAGGATAAGAGAAGAAAGAGAGAGAGAGAGAGAGAGAGGAGGAGGAGAGAGAGAAAAAAAGCGTAAATTTTATTGTGTAGAAATAGAACTAACTTTTATTGTGTAGAAATAGAACTAACTTGAAAAAGATCAGGAATTTTTTAAAAAAGATATATAAACACCTCTTTTAAACATCAAAGTAATATGGTAAAATATTCGTTCCTTCATTCACCATACGTAATCAATGAAAGCACACAAATAACTTACGTTACAAAAACCGAAAAACACGCGTAACTCTGAAAGAGTTGATTTTTCGACCTAAGTTTGCTAAACATTTTTTATTCGTTATAATGAGCACTATCTATCTTATAAGTTTTAAGTCTTTTCTTGAACAGCCTGTATATACACTGAGAGAAGAATTTAGTAAATATTATCAAAATTTGGTTACTATTACTAAATGATAGACGTAAATATAGCGGGCCAAAGCTATGGCAATACTTATTAATTAATTTAGTTCTGTAAAATAAATTATTTATTTGACAGAAGTAAAATTTATTTGCTTCCAGAATATATTTGGTAAATAAAACTTATTGAATAGTTGAGCAAAATAAGCGATTTTGTAATAGTTACAAAATTTTTGATAGGTTCAACCAACTATTGTAATAATAAATATTGAAACGATGTAATAGCTACAAATGAATGAATTTTTCGTTGTACTGCAACAAAACATACTTATACTGGTAACAAAATAGAATTCGTACCTACTGAATTTTTTATTATATGGGATATAACGATTTCATAACAATTATCAAATATCTGTTCATAACTATAATATATTTCATATTAAATATTTAACATTAAGTAACTATTACTAAATTATTTAATTGATGTTACTGTGAATGCAATTACGTCATACTCCCGATCTATTAAATATTTGGTAATTATTATCATATTTAGTATTAGTTACTAAGGATTCAATGAATTTCTGTAACTAAATGCAGTTTGTTATAGTTACCAGTCTTTTCTCTCAGTGTATACACACACAAAATCGATCAAATAACAATATATTTCCACCTTAACATCACATCATTATAGTCTATTTATTTTATTATATTATTATCTCTAAATCTTGATGAAATTTTGTCTACATTATTTTAAATATTTGTCGATATTTTTAGAAATCTTTTTTGTTGAGATTATTGAGAGAGAGCAACAATATATTTCTATAACAGCACGGATGAAAGCATTTCCAAGTTTTTAATGTTAATAAATATATTATCAATATGTCATTTAACGTTATCATGGTTATACTGAATTTATACTTCAAAGTGAAATAACTTTTGACCCAGGCTTTGAATCAATGTCAAATTGTTTGTATCATTTTTAGATTTTATTGATTAATCTGTATTTTTTCAAAATTTATTAATTATTCTTGAGTTGTGGGTAATGCATCCTTAATTGCATATAAATTCTGTCTGCATATTGTTAATAACTCACCTGTGACACTTTTTTTTCTCTTCTCTTTTAGTTAATCAACATAGGTTCTCAATATAACTATGGTAATGACGATCACGCCGAATTTCTGTGTGTCGTAAGCCGAGAATATGGGGCTAATCAGCTCAGCAGTAAGGAACAAGAATCCACGGATCGTGTCAAGGTACCGCTATCCTATTCGACTGTTTCCCATCCTTATTTGAGTCAAAGTAGCTATGGCTAATGCGGTCTCATTTTGTTTTTTTGTTATATCCGAATTGGTCTATAAATTGCCACACAGATCTTGTCGATTGAGGTTCAATCACATTCTTTTACTAAATATTTTCACTCTTCCCCCCCTTCCCATTTAAATAAAATTATATATTCTAAATAATCTCTGCGTTAGTATTGTTATGTCCCTTCTATGTTGGGTTGCATGAGATATTTATTGAAGCAATAAATATCTAACTACTTCTTCTCAGCTGGGAACACAAGCGCTTTCCTGTCTAGAAGAAAGGATTGGATTCCAATGAAATTTCCAAGTGCTTCACTGCCATAAGTGGGAGAAAATTGTCCTGAGATTGTCCTGTTTTTGCAATCCAACATTGATTTTCTTAATTTCTAACGCTATTGTGAAATCAAATAACACACTTTCATCATTCCAATAAGGTCGAATAAAGCAGTATTATTTTTTTTTAGTATTAACAATTTGCCTATACTGACGGGTTGGGTAGAGAAAAAAAATAATAAGAAAAGAACCAAAGATAAGCTTTATTATACTATATGTATGATAAATATGATATATATACAAACGGTTTTATTATGAGATTGAATTACCTCACCCCCTACCAGTCACGCTTAATCCAGCAATACATTCCTCTAAACATTTTTCCGCAATATTTTTGACGGTCGCTTAGAATTATTTTGCTTAATCGTTCTCGAGAGGAGACGAAAACACAAAAAGGAAGAGGAATTCTCTTGTAGACATAAAGTGTTCGACAGCAGACTTTATTAGGTGGTTTCGCGTGTTTCAGAAATAAGTGAAAAACGATAGATCTTTGAAAAGGGAGAATTGTGAATCGTGAATTTCCATTCTGTCTCTTGTGTCTGTGTGTATATATACATAAATATGTGTGTGACTCCAAACGTGTGCGCTTTATACATTGACACACATACACATTGTTGAAGTCTCATTAACTGGAAAACCACCTGATAATCTGTGGAGCCCAGAGGCCTGTTCGCATGAGCATGTTCCGCCTCTGACATTTGTTGTATGTACTATATTATTATTATTGTATCGCATGCCGTTCGTTAAATAAAGAATTTTTTCTTTCATTGGTTTGGTTACTTTATGCCCTGTGACCTGCATGAATCATTGTTGCATGCTAAATTATTCATCATACATTATATATATCTTTTGTGCGACGTGTAAGCGTGAATTGTTGTACCTTATCAAGAGCTTTTGTACAATTTCTTTAAATTACGTGATATTAATCCCGATTAGTGTATACTAATATTTACATTATTACGGGTTCACGCGCGCGTGCGCGCTTTCTTTAATGATGGTAGCTTTTGGGGATACGCAGTAGCTATAGATTAGATTAGCGTGTCGGTATTCATTTAATTGATTTATACGTGAGAAAAAAAGAGACGCAACAATATATAACAGAGGCGAAATGAAATAATTTTCGAACGATAAAACCTCTTGTGACGTCACACGCCCTATTAGATTCCGTATTTAGAATTAAGTATTATAATTGTAAGTGAAGCAAACTAATACGTTTCTATTAAGCTTAGACTTATTGGATTACATTCTAGGTTTTGCAGCAGAAGGGTTCACGCATGTAATGTCTAGATCCGTCCTTGTTTTCCCTTGCCTCCCTTAGTTTGATCAACTGCGCTGCGACAAGATGAAGACTGTTTTCGTTTTTACATTTAAAACATTCAACTGTAAAACACTCGTATATTTCTCCATTATATTCTCTCTATTTCTACCGTAATATTTACGTATAGGGACATTATTGTGCAAAGGATATAAACAAGTTTTATAGATATGTATTTATTACATAGCAAGATTGTATATGAAGCTTTAAAACCGAAAGTATCACGTTATTATTAATTTATTCCTCTTCATTAAAACAGTGCCCAAAAGAACAAAAAAAAAAAAAGAGAACGTTGATCTCAACAGGAAAAGGGATAGTTTAATAATTTCGTACAGTTTATACACAGATATAATCGCTATAATACAACAGGCATAAAGCAGAAACCTTCCTTTTTCTATTAAGCACATCTATCTGCTTTAAAAGCAGATAAAATGCTATAGTCAGTGAGAGAGAGAGAGAGAGAATGAGAGAGAGCGCATAGTTATATATACTAATAAATAACGTTGTTCCGTAATGGCTGCAGTTATGTTTTAGCTTTATCGAATATTTTAACGGACAATGGCATTTGTGGAGGCAATCGGTTTCATAGAAATTTCTACAACAAATGGTAGCTTTTATCTTGGATGTAGTACATATATATAGATCGTGTCATTTTTGTACCAAATTGTACAAAAAGAAAGAATTCTTTTTCCCATCCGTGTCCTTATCGTAAGATGTCTAAATTACTTACCTTCGCACTGCCGCTATATAAAGAAATAAAAAAAGAAAAACATAAAATAATATTTGTAATATCTAACGTGATAATTTTGTCAAAACCCGACGCATAAACTGATAACTATGAAATATGTAAATTGCTGACTTTTTACATATACTGTTGATACGAAAACGGGATTTTTTCTAAACGAAGCAATTTTATTACACTACTTGTTAAGAATACCCAAATCTAAGGTGCGCGTGAAAATAGCGGAGGATCGAAAATCTCCGTGCAAAATGCCATTGCAGAAGAGGAAATTTTAAGCAGCGGGAGAAATGTATATATACATACATACATGCATATATATATATATATATATATATATATATATATATATATATTCCACACAGTAGAAATGTTCCGAATATATCATAGAGATATCCTACAGATATTGAGATATTTTCATAATATCCTTGATGCATTCAGGACATTTCTGCAATGTGGGATATGTACAACGCGCGCAAAAAGATTCCGAAACATTCGTTTTATATTTCACAGCATACTGCACAAAAGATCAAGAAAAAAAGACAGAATGTGATTTCGTTGTCGCAAATCAATGAAGGGAAGCGGACGTATAAGGTTATCAATGTCTGGACATGTATCTAATCCTGAACATTCTTATTGTTTTAATCTTTAAGTACAAATATTTAAACTTCCAACGGAAAAAAAAATATATATATACTGAATATATATACACAATACACGTACATATATACATACAACACACATATATACATATATTTATGTATCCTATATTAAAAGTTAAAATATTTGTAATCCACAGAATCAAAACAATAGAAATATACAAGATTAGATACGTATCCGACAATTGATACTTTTATCCAAAATAGAAAAATTTAGATTTTTCGTTTCACACAGGATATATCTGCAGTTGCAATATGATCCCCTACATCCGTAGTAATTCGCGCGAGTATTTGCGACAGATGTAGGTTGTCAATTGTCGAAGGCCTATTCTAAGAAAGTGTCCTAGACAATATATTCATACTTAACGATGTTAAATGGAAGAGTATTATGTAATATCGGCTTTTTATAGATGTGCCATTAGTATTGTATACACCGCGAAATTATTGTCCCACGCATACGCAATTTCCACTTTGCAGACATTGACAGAGTAACGATTTACAATATGGATACTAAAATAATCGATTACATTTTTATACATTGTCATTGTGTGTGTGTGTATCATCGGTACTTGTGCTATACATTTATCGTTTCGATGGCGTGTATTTAAACAGTGAGGACGTATAGAGAAAACAAGAAAGATATCACTGATTGGCTGGCAAACAGTTCTCATTTGCTACGGCGGGATTTCAGAAACTTTAGGACCAATATTGTTAATCTCGTGCTATGTACAGTGTTGTTTAGACTAATGTAAGGCATTATTTTCTAGCTCAAATTTTCACGTATCCGATCATTAATTTAGTCGACATATTATTAATGTTCATTATCGTCACATTATACATGACGAGAGAGGGACGGACACGCCCCGCTTCACTCATGTAAAGTTTGTACTTTCATATAGATAGACTTCTAAAATAATAGATATAACAATTTACCGATTATTCAGTGTTTGGCGTTAGGGATCAAGGCAAGTAGCGTTTACATTTCATGGAGAACTAAAAGAATTACAGCAAGAGGTAGAAGAAGTTATTAATAAACGATGTAAAAAGAAATTATCGTACTACGCGATAATATACCGCATATAATATAGCTTATTGTGTTTCTTCTTCATTGTACATCCATAATGTATTTTCAATTTGTTTTGGGTATTCACTTCTCTGTAAAACACGTTAATAATTTTCAACTTTGATCTACCGCACAACTAGTACAGAGTTCTTAAAACGTTATTCTCATTTGTGGGTACGAGAAAGTTTTACCACATCCAAAACTCTCATACTTTTTCATGTCATTGTATGTACGTGCAGATGTATAATAATGTAATCAAAATTTATTAATTGACATTTATTGAATGGTAATTTAAAGTATAGGATGATTCTGATATATATTAAAGGTATTAGACACTTTTTAGGAATTTCTATGCAATAATTCTTACCTAGTAGTGCAATTCACCGTAAGCGCGCGATGAATAAAAAAATAAAATATGATATATAATATTGTTGATTATTTTTCTGCCAATACAGTCAGTCACACACACATATAAATAAATATCACATACACACATTTATAAATATATATCACGAGAAATTATATAAAGAAAAGCAGATTGAATTTTTTCGAACGACTCTTATGCGTTAAGTAAATTATAACAATAGTTATTTACACATATGGCAACTCTCTATTGACACTACATTATCGATAGGTAAGCTTACATCAAGTAGATTTTATGATTATGGCGTGTGATTTGTAAAGTGAGATAAAATTAAATGCAAATTGTTTTTATTAATTGTAACTTATATGAAAAATAAAAGATTTATTGTACTATTAAAGTTATACGCAAACCATCTACTTCATTTTTTCGCTTGCCCTATTTCCTATTGTTTTACTTTGCATAGAATATCCGATTGTGCGTACGATAAAACGGAAGCATGTACACATGTCGGCATAAAATTAATAAAAATATATTTGTACACATGTATACAGTATTCGTACAAATTATAAATTCTTATAAACAATAAATAAATATTACAGAATAAACATACAACATATTAAGATGCACTGATACTTGGTAACAGATCAAATGTGATTCCCTCAAGGCATACTTGCTATTGTCTTTAAAGGTTGATCGAGATACTGAGCTAATGCCTGTGCCTTTTCTCGTAACAATCCAAATCCTACATTTTCTTTTGCATACAAACATAACAGCAAGTTAGCTACTTCTGTGATAACAACTTTTCCTTCCTATAAAAACAAAAACGGAGTATTAACAGATTTCTACATATTTAACATGATAAAATTCGCTGATGGATAAATTACCATGCAATCCATTAGAACAAACTGTAATTCATCTTCTTTAAAGGCATTCCTTCCATTTTTCTCATAAACGGTCCAAATGTTACTCGTGATGGCAGCTGTCACTCTGGCATCTTTATCTCCATAACCACTGTATGCTAATAATCCACCATCTCTGTTAAGTAATCTGTAGTATTGCATTAATTCAACATTAATTTTTGCATATTAAGTGTCACATTGCAGGAATAATTATACTGGTCAACAGGTAATTTGTCACATGGAATTCCTCATGTTCCTTATATATTTTTGTGCTTGCAATCTGCAAAATTTCTCCAATATCCAGTCTTTTTTGTGACTGTCATCTGAGATTTAATATTTTGTACTTGGCCTATTCCCCATGCAATTTGTAATTCAATTATATATAATTTCTAAACTTTTTATATTGTAATACTATCAATATTGAATCAAAATTAAATATTAATATTTTCCATAAAAGGTTCTTCTGTTCAAGCAATAATATATTGTTCATAAAAATTCATTATAATTATTTTTTTCCTTTTATGTAACTTTTCTCCAATTAAGATATGAAAATGCTGATACCTTCTTTCTTTATTTTTAAAAGAAACAATTTAAAGTACAAATCAATACAGTAAAAAATCACTAGTTTGTATCTTTTAAATTAGGTCATATATTTATTAGACATTAAAGAAAATGAACTTTCATATATTTATTAGATATTAAAGAAAATGAACTTTCTTTTAAATTAACTTCAAAATCATGTTACTGAAAACCCTTCATTGATATAATAAAGTATACTGGCACTTTTTAATTCAGTGTAAAAAATACTATGTAGATCGCATAATTTAATTCATGTAACAAAATGATTTTTTGATAGACCAGTGTTATTAATTAAAGAAAAATGTCTATGTATAGACAATGCAAACTATGTATAAGATGTCATATATAAATGATGAACAAATATTACAGAATAAACATATAATGTATTAAATTGCATTAATACTTGGAAACAGATCAAATGTGATATCCTCAAGGTATACTTGCTATTGTCATTAAGGATTGATCGAGATACTAAGTCAATATCTATATCTTTTTCCATAACAATTTAATATAATAATAGGTAATGTATAATTTATGTATGTTGTTTAAAAAATATATAGCTTATTTAAAAAAGTAATAAATATATAGCTAATTTAAAAAAGTTTATATTTTTACTTAACCTTTAGAATCCTAATGTAAATTTATCAACGGTTTCCTAGACAAATTAAAGTTTACAGGATTTTCTGAGATTCTTACCTTCCGAGTTAAATCTGCTATAATAAAATAGAAATTTCGTGCAATTTGTCTTTTCTAAACATTACGTTTACAATTTATAATTAATATTCAAAATAGATATTGCTAATTTATTTGTGCACTTTTTTATGTATTTTAATATAATTTATAATATTCTACATAATTTCCACTGTCTACATAAAAACAGATTGTGTAATTCACATAAAGGGTACATAAACAATTCATGTAGATGTAATCTTAAAATTTATGGAACAACCCTGTGTACGAGACTATCTATAGTGTGAAGCGATTCTTGGATGAATTCGTACACTTAAAAAAGGAACGCGATATTAGAGAAAAGTATTTACGCACAGAATATTCTGAAAAAACTAATATATCTCACGTATGTATATTTCTCCGAATTCTTACTCACAAAGTGTTCTCCACACCTCCGGTGTTTGCTTGACTAAGAACTTGCGTGAGAGCTTTCGGCTTCAACATATTTTCGTTGTCGCTTTCAATTGTAAGTATTTCAACGTCAATCGAATGCTATTTATTTACCACACATGCGCACATAAAATCTGTGTTACTGTAAAAATTCTCTTATTCTTCCTCGAACCCACCTCGGTACCGATATCAGTTGTTATCGTTGAAACAGCGAATGTAGCGGATTGTATATCAACAAATCGTTCAAAAGAAAGCAAGATGAGTGAGAGAGAGAGAGAGAGAGAGAGAGAGAGAGAGAGAGAGAGAATGACGAGTGGGGGTGATGGGGAATACAGTCACGAGTTATGTGTTTCTTCAGATGCGTAGTTTAATTAATTTTGTCGAAAGTGACGCTCTCTTGACACTTGTGACTCATTTACACGTGACAGTGCTGAATCATCGGTCACGAGGTCCTGCTGCTGTACAATAAATATGACAATCCGTTTTTTTGCACAATGTAAAGATAGATCGTACCCACGTGGATATTTATATTTATACTACCGCACATTTAATTATTTCGCCGTTTGCATCAGCCGTTGAGAGGAAGAATCTTCACGAATCGTTTCGTGGTGCCTTCTGCGCGTCGCGCATTGATCATTTCGCCCGCTCATTGGAGGATTCACACCGCGTGACGTCCGACGTACGACGTCCAATATCCAATAGCAGAACAGCTTTCCAATGGAAAACTGAATTTTCTAATAGAAAGCTGTTCTCTTATTGGATATCGGATATTGAATGCGGTGTAAATCCTGCATATTGATCCTTTCCGTCGCGCAATTACGTAACGTGGTTCTCGAGTCGCAGCATCTCTATCGTGGCTAGTCAAACGTTGTTGAACGTGGTCAGAGTGAATTTCGCGTTGCGACCGCTCGAAGCATCGTTGTACACAAGTCGATTGTGATCCTGACAACGAGCGAGAAATAAAAAAGAAAATGCCGCGACGTGGACGTGCCGCCGCCCCTCCTCCGCGAACGTAAGTAAAAAAATGCAGTGTGTTTTTGACGCGCATAAATAAGTCGTTGTTCGTTGTTTGCGCCGTTTTCACGGACGATTACATCATGGTCGCGCGACGTCCAACGTCAGCCTCGGTACGCAAAAACGCCGAGGACCTCGTATTCCGTGGCCCGCGCGCGAAGTTGTTCTCTGCAAGACGTCGAATCAGCCGAATCATTCCCGTTCAAATGTGCTTTTAGCGTCAGGCCTGCACCTGCTCCAGCCAGAGCCGCATCTCCGCCATCTTCCGTGCCAGCCCGTGCTCCCGCATCGACACCCATGGTGGCGCAGCCACAGCAGCCATCTCTCATGGGTCAAATGGCCGCCACTGCCGGTGGTGTGGCTATTGGATCCGCTGTGGGACATACTCTCGGACATGCCATGACCGGGCTTTTCAGCGGAGGCTCCAACGAAGCAGAGGCTGCTGCGCCAGCCGCGGCTGCGGCTGCTCCAAGCCCGGCGCCAGTTGGTGCAGCTTGCTCATGGGAGATCAAACAGTTCCTGGAATGTGCTCAGAATCAGTCTGACTTGTCCCTCTGCGAGGGCTTCAACGAGGCGCTTCGTCAATGCAAAGTTGCCAACAGTCAGTAATTTTTCTCTGACGTTGTCACTTGTCTGATCTCTGATCAATGACTGCTTTTCACTTGAGCTATATTCGAGAAGACGCTGTTTAGTGCTGTGAGCGTCCTCTGTCCTTGTTACTTGTTAGAAAAAGTTGAACAAGAATAAAGCGCTAAATAGCGCCCGCCCGAACGCAGCTAGACGACGCGAGCATCATTCTATTTTCGCTCCATATTCATAGAAAGATAGAATAATACTTATGTCGATTTGTGCGACACTAAATGGAAAGCATTCATTGTCATTCTATCGTCATTCCATTATCATTCCAAAACGTAATGCCACCGACAAAGTAGTATCAAAGGTCTTCAGTTTGGTGTGATTTAGTGAAACAGAAAACTTTGCTATGTATTAATCTACTGTCGGTAAGTTTGCATAAGATCATTGCAGATAACTGCAGAAATGCATTTTCACAAAAATATCTAGTATACTTCATTGTAGGTCTGCATACATAGCGATCAAATGTCGAGAAAATTGTAAATTATAAAATTAATACTTCATTACAGGCTGAATATTTAAATATTTATATCAAGTATTAAGGCTCAAAACGATCAATAATTTCGATAAACTGATCTTCAATTATCTTTGAGCTTCTTTATTCCTATGAAAATTTATCTAGAACTGAAAGTGTTTAGAGTATTGCTCAAAGTTGAGCGTTTAAATTATGATACTTTTCTATTCTATAGGCAAACAGTGTAAACTATGTATGAAATGTTATATATGTGTGCAATGAGTTATTTAAAAAACATTAGGCTTGTTTAAAAATTAATTGATAAAAGTTCATATTTTTATTTAATATTTAGAATCCTGATATAAAGTTATATACATTGTTTTCCAAACAAATCAGAGTTCACAGAATTCTCTGGTTAAATTGTTATAGGCAGTTTATTAATCGGTCACATAATGAAGGGAATATTTCATGCCAATTTATTATTTTTTAACATTATAATTAATTTCCGGAACAGATATGGTAAATATCTAAATTTAATTACTCTTCTGTATATTGTAATATAAATTTTCCAATATTTTCTACATAATTTATATCTATATATTTATATTATCTGAAAAACAATAGGTCTGTTCTTTGTAGCTGCACTGCTGAACTAGTGCAATAAGTTAGAGTGAGAAAATGTATATTTGTCTCATTTCAATATATTGTACCAGTTCAACAGTGCAGCTACAAAGAACAGGCCTTGTATGTACAACATGTAGATAATAAGTAAACAATCCGCATAGACACAATCTATAAATTTACACAGATTGTTTACTTATTATCTATATAATGTATACATAGTTTTTTAGATAATGTAAATTATATGGAATATAAACTAAAATATATACATAGAAAAACATAATTGAATTAAGATAAACTAGATTGTATCTACTCTGGCTATCAATTATAAATGCAATATTTAAAAAAGATAAGTTGCATAAGATTTTCATTTTATTGTGTTGCAGATTGGTAAATTTAAATCTGTGAAAGTAAGAATGTCACCAGAGAATGCTGTATATTCTAGTTTAATTAGCAGCCAATGTTCATAAATTTACATAAAAATCTTAAAGATTAAAAAATATAAACTTTTCTTAATTAATTTTTTTGCAAGTTATGCTTTTGGTAAAAATACTGAATAAGGAATCCAGCTCCTATGATTTTGACCTTAATAAATGTTATCAAGGATATATTCTTAAATAACATCAAGGTAATATATCAAAGCATCGCTCATTGTTTGTTAAAAAGTTCTTCAAAAAAATTTTCTTATAAATGGAACGTAATTTTGTACACAATGTACATTGAAATATGGTAAACAATACGTATATGCCATGGACTTTGCTCCTTTCCCTGAACTCCCTCCCCAAAACTTTAACCTAACCTAATCCTTTACATTTTTGTATTCTTTCTCTATATATATTTTGTATTTTTGTATTATTTCTCATTGAGAAACTGATGCATAAAGATGTAAACAATGGGTTAGATTATTTTTTGGGGAAGGGGCGGAGCTCTTTTCCTGCGCATGTTATATTTTAATGTACACTATGTGTAAAAATTATCAATTTATAAACTTTTTTGTTAATAACTTTTTAACAAACAACACACGACGACTAAAATCTATTCAAAGGTATTTAGAAGAGTGACTTTCATAATATTTCAAGATCAAAAATATATGTCAAGGTCAAAAATATATATGTCAAGGTCAAAAATATATATGTCAAGGTCATATATATATGTAGAAGTTGAGTCCCTTATTCAATATTTTTACCATATTTTCTTTAAACAATTATCTCTATAGATCTCTATAGATATTCATAAATTATTCATGGTTTAGATAAAATAATTATTTATGGTATAGAAGATAATATTTTATATATAGTTTACATTGTCTATACATGGACAACGAGATCACCATAGCAGACCGATTAGAATACCATAATTCAAGCATAGACGTCCAATTCTAGTTTTTAGTATTATCTCGTCGGTAATGTTTATGACGAGTGGATATTTAATTGCACATGTGTATTTTCTGTTTTCAGATATTGTCTAAGTCAACACATAGGAAATTCAAAAACTAGAAAATTTCTAAACAAAACTACATGGTGATTCCTAGTATATGTAACATGATTATCTAGACGAAACAATTTCCTGTTTATTTTTACTGTTATATACTTAGATGCTATAATTGTGAATAAAATCATAACCTTATCTATATCTTGAATGTAATCCGTATGTTTTAGAATGCAATAAAAAAACCAAATCTGTTTGTTTAAATTTTATATCTACGTCAATCTCTAAATATCTCCGAATTGTATGTATAAAGATGCATTACAGTAGCATAATTGAATAAAAATTCAAATAAAAACAATCTTCTCGGTTTACTTTACCGACGAAACAATGATTCAGTTTCTCAGGTTTAAAGATTGTGATTATAGATCGAAATAAATGGAAGACAATAGTATAACATATTTTCTCTTCACTTTATATTACAATACATTAAACAATAATTTATTACAGAAGGTGAAAATACTTCTTATACAAGAAGGTACATACATCGGAAGGGTAAACGGCAAATAAAAAGTTCTGGCATTATGACGAAAGCAAAATAAGCGCATCTACACGAGAAACGGTTTCGTAATTTTATGGTAGTTTTCTAAAATGCTTAGCTATTGAAAATAGCCACATATTGAAAATTAGTGATTTACATATGAATATATATATATATTTATTTATATATGCCATATTCAATCTATTTAACGCGATTATCTAATAAACGACTTTCTCTTTCTTTACTCGACAACGGGAGGCAGTTTAACACGCAAAAGTAGCACGAGAATATGTGGTAGACTATCTTTTTTCCGTATTCAACACGCGCATCATCACGTAACCGGCGACAGTAGCGACCGCAATTCCCAATCCTGCTTTCCACCAGACCATGGAATCCCCTTGCATTAGGCCGAATTGGTTTATATGCCTAAAATGGTCGAACAGCAGAGTATTATCGCTGAAAAGTGTGAAAGATATCTCGAAATGTTCTAGTATCGTGATAAAACTACAATGTCCTGTAACATACGTTCAGAATCTCTCAATTATTTAACGATATAATGAGCAACGTAAATATCGACGAAATTCTAGTTACACTGACAATGAGTTTTATCATGTGATAAGCAGGGTTGGTATAAAGTTACTTTTGGAAAGTAAGTAACGCGTTACTGTTACTCGGTATCTAATAAAAAAAGTAATTTGTTATCATCACTCAAGACGTAATGAATTGTTACAATTTTTATTCACTTTTATCTGTTCTACTTATATTTTTCTTTTGGTACGTCTTACGCGGGATATCCTGTATATGTGTAAAATAACGACGAAAATAACTATTACATTCATTGCTGTTATTTAAGAAATGTAATTGCGTTACCGTTAATACTGTTATTAATGAAAAAAATAACATTAATGCTAAGTCGTTGCTAAAAAAAACTATTTTGTAACAGTAGCAGCGTTACAAGTAACGCGTTACTTCCCATTCCTGGTGATAAGTAACATTGAATTAAAACGGAGGATTGCCCTCTTAGAGCAATTTGAGCATACTGGAGAAGCATCTTGATGGATTATTAGAGCTGTGTCGCATGCTCATGCTTGAACGGAACGGAGAAGGCGATATATATATTTGTGCCTTGAAAAAGAAAGGGGGACCAACCCGTTTACCCAGTTACCACAATTGTAGACGTCTCAGAATTTGTAAGTTTAGATCGAGAAATGACATACTATTATATGTTAACTATATTGATTAATAAACTGACTGCGCCAAATACGTCGTTGGCGTGCGAAATTATCTGTTTCATATGTCAACTACAGGGTTAAGGATGTATTATCCGTATAATATCTGCAAAAAGTTATTGGCAATTAGAAATATGTTAATATTTCGATTTTCCGTTAAGTTTTATAAAAACTTATGGTATACGATATAGTATATACGATACAGTTGAACACTAACATATTTTTAATTTACATCGCCTTTTTGTCTATTTTATATTTTATTTCTGACTTTCAAACTTTTATCTCTAACCACAATGAAATTTTGCATATATTATTTTATATAAATACTTAAAGTATATATAAACATTTAGATTTAGATAAATTTAGATAAAAATTTAAATTTGTTATCATTTTTTAATTATCTTTTTCTCTTTGCTAAATATAGCAATAGCATATATTTCCATAACAACACAGGTTAAAATACTTTCAAGTAGCAGGATCACATCAAATGATATATTAATAGCGTCCTTAACCCTTTAAGTCATAGTGTATCATATATGATACATCTTTTTTAGAGTAGTTTTTGTAGAGACTTCGAGGCGGTAAATGTAGATTCATTGTGAAGCTTATATGTTCCTCTAACAGAATCATCTGCATAGAACATTAAATTTTGCAAATTTAATTATTCATAAACAAATTAATGTAAAAAAAATTTTTTAATTTATTTGTCAAAAATATTGCAAAGTAAACTTATGGGAAAAAATGGTTTAGTTGATGCTTTTTGAGCTGTAGATAATGACGCAATCTCAAGAATTTCAAAATTCAAGGTAGCGAACTCAATATGGCGAGCTAAAATACTAACAATCAGGATAAGTTATATTTCTTTCTATAAATGAGTGAAGTTGAGTCTGTGAATAGCTTGAATTTCAAAAAAGTGATTTTGAATTTGTGATTAACGACGTCAAAAACCCTCGGATATAAATTTTCACGGAAATCGCGGGAGTTTTAAAATTGCCGCCATATTGAATTTTCAAAAACTGACTTTAAATTCGTAATTAACGACCCCAAAAACCTTCAGATATTGATTGAACAAAGGGAAAGGTTGTACAGAAAAATTCGTGACTTAAAGAGTTAATGTCAATAATATAACATTCGACGTCATCATGTTTACTGGCTTTTTTTTTCAAAGTAAAATAACTTTTGATCCTCCAAGGCTCTGAGTTCAAATTGTTTGTCAAATTGTCATTCTTAGATATTACATAGATTAATCTGTTTTATCAAAATTTTTATATTATTTTTGAAACATGAGTAATATATCCTTAACTCACATAGATTCTTATTTTTGCTAGTTTTTTTTTACTGAAAATAGTAAATATAATTAATTAACACGTTAAAATAACATATTGATTTTGATTTTTGTTTATTTTGTCGACGTGATACAGTACTTTAATGAAAAAAGAGCAACTTAGAATTACGTTCTGGGAACGCATTTAGGTATTGGCTCTTTCTCTTTCAAGGTATGAGTATGTTAAGCTGTGACTCGCAAGGCTAGGAGTAAAAACACAAGCAATAATACGAAATGAAACCTTGTAAAAGAACTCCACCACTGAGAGGGTGAGGATTCGACAAGCAACATGTGGACCATACGCCTCAAACGGCTGAAAAGAGCCAAGACGTTGTTATACGGGTAGTATTATCCGTGCGACATTTTCTAATGTATATACAGGGTGTCCCAAAAGGTGGTACCAAATTTTAGGAGTATGTAGTACTCGTTAAAACAAACCAAAAACTCTTAATGAACAGTATTCCGAAAACCTTTTATTTCTGAGTTATGAAACATTTTGTTCTGTGAAAAATAGAAAATAACTAAAATTTACAATAAATGTTCAATGTGCCTTCCGTCCATTTCAACACATAATTCGGCACGTCTCCTCATTGAAGATCGAACACGTTCAAAGATTCCGGGTTTATTCCGTATTTGTTATATAAAATAACAAAATAAAATGAATATTCGTCATTTCAGAATTTGTGTAAAAATTAGCCATTTTTCAGATAACACAAAACTAGATACGGTCCACAATCTAAAGTTAAATACAACAATCTCTGCGTAATTAGGTGGTTACATACGAGCGTCCGTGAATGAACTGACTAAGAGACTTGGAAACTGTTGTCAACAAATACGAAATAAACCTGGACTCTTTGACTTTCAATGACGAAACATGCTGAAATGTGTATTGACATGAGCCGAAGGCACATTGAACATTTATTGTAGATTTAATTTATTTTCTATTTTTCACAGAACAAAATGCTTCATAACTCAGAAATAAAAGGTTTTCGGAGTACTGTTTATTAAGAGTTTTTGGTTTGTTTTAACGAGTACTATATACCCCTAAAATTTAGTACCACCTTTTGGGAACACCCTATATATATACAGGGTGAGCCATTTTAACCGACGGATCCAAATTGCTCCTAAAATACGCCAGCTACAAAAAAATGGTTAAGACAAGAATTGTAGAGGACAACGGGGGTCATTTTACCGTGCTAATAATTTTGACCTTCAGATCGATTTTCAAGGTCATCCGAAGGTCAAAGTCATTTTTTTAAATTAGAACTCCTATTTTTGACACCGGATTCGAAAAGAGCAGAAAATTTTACGTTAAAAATGATATTTAGATTTTTTTTTCTGAGTCCAAGAAGGTCAAATAAAAAATGATTAAAAACAACTTAGAAGCTGTTAATGTTAATTTTAAAGATTTTTATGCATGATAAGTGTTTCGCGGTACTAACAAATACTAATAGAAGAAAAGTTGCGAAACGTTGTCATTCCATTTCCGAAATTGATGCGCAATAATCTCACTTTGATATGATTATTAATAAGGCGTAATAAATAAAATTTTAAAAGTAAAAACAAACACTTTTAAAGTATTGCCTTTAACAATTTTTCTTTTTTGAGTGCAGGGTAACTTGAAAAATTTTTTTTAAATATGGCTGACTATCCTCCACGTCCACGTCGTTGTTTCCGGGTAACGCTAAAAGTATTGAATTAACATCTTCCAAGTTCAGGATTTGACCTTCTTGGACTCAGAAAAAAATCTAAATATCATTTTTAACGTAAAATTTTCTGCTCTTTTCGAATCCGGTGTCAAAAATAGGGGTTCTAATTTAAAAAAATGACTTTGACCTTCGAATGACCTTGAAAATCGATCTAAAGGTCAAAATTATTAGCACGATAAAATGACCCCTGTTGTCCTCTACAATTCTTGTCTTAACCATTTTTTTGTAGCTGGCGTATTTTAGGAGCAATTTGGATCCGTCGATTAAAATGGCTCACCCTGTATATATATATATATATATACATATATATGTATATGTGAGCAAATCGCCCGGCACATACAAAATGAGAAGATGAAGTTAAACACCGGTGAAAACATGCATCGAAAGGAATGACGATGACGACTGAATGCAGAGATTTACGATTTGCTCAAGCCTCTAAATTTTTACAGTGTGAGATTGAAATTCGGACCAACCTGTCTCGGTAAAATAATACCCACGCTCCTTGAAAGCGGCTAAACACGAAATATATCTTTCTGTTAGTACCGAATTATCTTTCTTGTTCCGTTTTCTGTTTTATTTTTTTTATCAGGGAATATTTTCTTAAATTAAAATACGAGAAAAAAAAACGAGAGAAAAATCTGGAAAGAGGTGCGGCGAGAAACGCAAACCTATTGCTTGAACATAACGACATAGTGGAAAATATTGTATAAAAAAAAGAAGAAGCAAAGAAGCTTTAGGAATCTCGACATAATCGGTACTTTCAGATGTATCAGCTATTTGCTACGGTGGAACGAACATCAGCTACTATCTGTAAATCGCGTCAAGCCCGAGATCTCTTTCTTTCTAGCTTTTCATGTCGTTCTTAATGCCCTTAATCAATGAACACGCAAAACTTACGGGAAAGCCGCCATCGTAGCTAGCTTGACGAAGATTTCACGTCGAACTGTGCGAGAGACACTGTACGGTTGTGGTGGCATCAGCTTATACCTGCTACAGAAGCTAGCCGGTTGCAACAGATAACACTGTTTCACTTCCGAAAGGTCACTTTTATTCGCTATTATCAGAACAGGGATTTTACTATCGGCGAAATATTTCTGTAAAGACATACAAATTTATATCAAATATCATTATCATTAATATTCAATGTAACTATAATATAATATTTAAGATTTAATATTAATTTTGATGTAAAATGATCAATGAGAGAGATATCAATGGTAAAGGATAATTGCAACACCATGATATCATTCCTTGATATCATTGATACATAACATAAATATCTAACATAAATATATAAATATATATAACATAAATATATAAATAACATTGTTATTTATAAAAAAAAAATGTAAATTTTCTGTCGTGCATAGCCGTAAAAAATGAAACATGCGTGCATGTATAACATACACATATACATATATATATGTGTGTATATATATATATGTATATATATGTATATATTTATTTATTTATTAATATATAAATTTCTTTCTTTCTAAGTATGAAAGGGCGAGTTGAACTTTTCAATAATAGCGAATTCGAATCGTGTTAGATCGTGCGAGAAGATACTTACGATGTAAATACGCGCTATATACTCAAACGATTTTGGATTACTGGCGTCGTAGACGAGAGCCGCTGCGTCACACTGTATCTCCGCTGGAGTTAATGCGTCCTGGACATTTAACACGTTTATATCTTTCAATACTATCGTTTTCTCTTGCCCATATACGTGCAACGTATTCACGGTGATGTGAGAATTCGGCGGTACCATGTGATCGTTTAATTTCTACAACATGCGCGGAGAAGCGATCGTTAAAGATCAAGTTCTTCGAGTAATTGCTCTAACATACAGTGAATAAGCGTTCTACCTCGAGTTTCGGATCGATAAAAGTTCTACATAACGTAGTTTTCCCGCTACTCTTTGGGCCTATCACGTGACAGGTATAAACGTTCCTGCTGGATTGCTTTTTGGCCAGATCTACTTTTTTCTCGCGTGTCACAACTACAGCGCTCGTTTGACACTCGTTATTGTACATATTGTAGCCCAGGTACGCCATGTATTCCAGAGTTTTGCGTACGTTTGTCAGTGTTAGCAGTGCCCATTGGCACATGTACCCTTGGAACGTAATCCAACCCTTTAATTAAATAAATCATATTTTATATCACGATAAACTGAATTACATCCTAATTTTTATTCTGATTCTCTATTGAGTCTAATTTCTAATCTATAATCAGAATTGAAAGTTACTTTTTAAAAGTAATTAATTTAATTACTAATTAAGTAATTAGTAATTTATTAAAAAGTAAAAGAACTCGTTACCACTATTACCATTATTAATTTTGACAAATAATTTGTTGACGTATTATTACTAAAAAAATAATCAATATTTTCATTACTATTTCCATTAACTATAGATATTTTTTTCTTTTACTATTTACTAACACTCTTATATAAATTCTGTATGTGTATAATGATAAAGGAATTATATTCACTACTATGATGCAAAGTATGTAATTACAACTAGCGAAAGAGTAATCCATTACTAAGTTGTTATTAAAGTTGAAAGTAACTTGCAACAATTGCAATGCGTTACATATAACGTGTTACTCTCCAAATCTATCTATAATTCTACGTATTTCTATTTGACACTTTCTCTCGTGGTAGTGCTCAAGAACAATGTCGACTATACCGGTTCTGTTGACTAATGTGTCATAAGAATTTATTCTAATGTAAATTGAGGATGTTCTAAAAGTGATCAATGTGAGCGTAAACCTTCTCATTCGTAGGGACAGTGTACTTGTACTCATCGCCCCATGGCGGAACGTGACATCGCGAGAATAATGATTCCATTTCTATTGGCGAGAGAGCTCCGTCACGATCGCGATCGTGCTGCATGAACAGTAACGTCAGGAATTCTTGTCCTTTGTGCGATAATTCACTGGTGCAACCAAGCGGTACCTTCAGCCTAAAACAAAATTATCGAATAAGATACCGAAAGACATCCTGGAGGTTGTTTGAAGTGACGCTCCTACATACGGTGGATGAATATACTCCTTCGACATCTGCAATTCATTGTCGTAACCGAATTTCCTCAATACTGCCCAAGTAGTCTCGTTCCTTCCGCGTTGTATAAACAAACATTGCAAGTACATAAAACCTGCGAATGTGTACAATTGAAAACAATTGTAATTGTCGTTCGTGTAATATCGAAATTATATGCAAATTGAACACGTTGAAACAACAATGTACCTTTCATAGTAACACATCCGTTACAGATACCGTCGCAAATATTTTTCGACAGCACAGCTTTCACGTCCTCTAATACTTGCGGCTGCAACGGTGTGTTGAAACACCACTGCTGAAAAGCGTTCAACTCCATATCGTTTAAGAGTCCATCGTTATCTAAATCGCATATCTACATCGGAGAAAAAAAATATAGCATAGTTCTAATACTTGATTTGAAGATTTTGTGGAGAAATGATAGAGAGAAACAATATAGCAGAACATAGAATAGAAGCAAAGAAGGTAAAACTAATACGTTACATTTACGATATATACTCACTTTAAAAATTCGCTGTAAAGCAGCTTTACATTCTTCTGTGAGCTGAAAAGGAAAATATTGATTGAAAAGTGTTTAGTTAGAAATTGAATTAAAGAGAAGATGAGTGCTACCTCTTGTGTATCATAATTGTACAAAGGTGTGGTGGGATGTAAAACCGCCTTTTGTGCATAATAAAATGTCTCAGAAACATTTTGAAGTGTCTTTGCTGAGCACTGAAAACGAGAGAAATATACTTTAAACAATCTTCTTCCATATTTTCATTTCTCTACCTCAGGCTTATACAGGCTTACCTCTATGCAACTTTCAATCTCTGTAAACTCCTTCATAATAGGATAGACAGCCTGAAAAAAGAATAAAAAAAGGAGATTACATTGGTTAATAGATAATTTGTCACATAAAGTTTTTGATGTATATTTACAAACTTCAAACACACTCAGAATTTTTTATTGTCTACTTTTTTTTGTAACTATTTATGTTTGTAACTATTATATGATAATTGATATATTATATGCGGCATTCGCAATTAAATTTAATCCTAAATTTTTTATATTAAAGTGCTATCAATATTAAATATCTGTTATAGAATGTTCCTCTGTTTAAACAATTACTTTGTCTATAAAAATTTATTAAGATTAACGATTTCTCCCCAATTAAGCACAAAGCTCGAAAAACTGATATATTTCTTGTTTTCAAAGGAAACATATCACAAGCAAAATAGAGCAGAGAATCACTAGCTCATACATTTTAAATTAGATAAGCTATGTATTTATTTGTAGAAAAAAACAATTTTCTTGATATCTCAAGATTACATCACTGGAAGAAACCTGAGTGATGGAAAAAACCTATACTTATTTTTTAATTCAGTGTAAACAATACTATAAATCACATAATATGGCCTAAATATAACAAAAAACACTTTTTTTTGTAAACCAATGTTATTGCTGCAAACACAAAATTGAGGTACTACTCAAGATTCTCTCTTCTCAGGCTTACGTACCTCAATAGTAGAATAATCCACAAGGTCGATCTTATTGCCTACAAGTACGACTGGACATCGATTATCAGATGAGCACCTTCTGATCAATGGTAGCCAATAGCTGGCGGCTCTATCTAAGGTGTCTTCATCATCCACAGAATAGACAACGCATATTACATGGGCCTTTTGAATCTCTTCTGCCAGTTGATCGTCCGTTTGTTCAGCCGCTGCAATTGTTCAACCGATAATGCTTGGCAAAATGATGTCAGTATTTCATATAATTATGGAGATATTTGGTCTTTTGTTTTGTGATATAAATTAGAAAAAAATATTTGCTATAACTACAGGGAGACTGATTGTGTATTAACATCACATGATAAAAATTATAAAAGCATGTTCATTAGATGTTGACTCATGCAATTATAAAATCTTCTAATAAATTCACTTATTTTTGTAATTTTCACTAAGTTTTGTTAGTATACAATTGACCTCCAGAACAGAGTTGATGTGACTCAATGTTTTGCATAATATCACATCGACTTGTTGATATTGTATTACTGCAGCTGACAACATTGAGCAAAGCAGTGTATAAGTTTCTTGCATAATTGACTTTTTAATCAAAAATAAAATTTATATGAAATAATAACAGTCTTTCTTAAGAAAATATAGATTGCTTTTTATTTTAGATTCTATATAAAGAAAGAATACACTACAGAGATAAAACTAATTTGCCAGCTTTATTTTTTTTTATTTTTTATTCCATGTAAGCAGTTCGCAAGGATTTTAATATCAATATATTTTTTTATTTTATATAAAAAAATGAACAAATATTAAAGTAAATTTATTTAATTTTACTTAACTTTTAAATGAAGTAATTTTTAACTAATTCACTAATTATTATCTGCACATATTATATCTACGCAAGGATAATAAAAATGACACTATCTTTGAGAAAACAAAATAAATCTACTGGCGCAGCGAAAGACATGCGATTGTGAAACTATAAAATCTCACAGGTGAATTGCATGACTGTTCACAGTTGCTCGTCACGTACCTGAGTAATCGACTATGTGCGTCGGCACCTGCTCCGGTGTAACATCCGCCGGTATCGTGATCTCCTCGGCTTTGCTAGGTACATCCTCGGCGTATTCCTCACTCACCAATGACAGTATCAGGGAGGTCTTGCCGACGCCACGTTCGCCGATCAACAGTATCCGGACATTGCGCCGAGGAGCAACCGCGCGCTGCACCATGCTGCTTTAGCACCGATAGCTATCACAAAGGACGACGGCGACGACATTCGCCGCTCAATTCTTCGTAGACGACATCCTCGTTTCGTGCCGGAGAGACATCAGTGACTGTCATATATACATATATGTATATGTGTATATATATATAACCTATAACCTGTCGCACGAACACGACGCGACTCGGTGAACGTTTGCTCGATTGTAAATCACGATTTTCTCACAGTGACATTTCAACGGCAATCAACGACACATCTCGCGGCGTCTCAGACACGATTTTCCTAGCGCGTTTTTTATCGCGTCGCGGATAATCGTTACGATAATCCTGTCGACAGTACTTTGCACCTTGTTTGAACGTCTCAGGTATATGATCACTAGCACCGATCACGAACGTCGCGGTCACGGCTGCAGACTGAAGCAAACTCTAGCGGACTCAGCGGACCAAAGCAGTAGTGCTTCGAGGGTGGGCTTTTCAAGGTTACCTATGCCCCCGCAATGAATGACGCTACGTGTGCGTGAGTACGTACGGAAATGCGGGTGTGTGTGTGTGTGTGTGTATATGTCACCGCATGTGCCCGCGTTTAGTATGTTCATTGCTTTAGTGTTGAAAATTTATACATACGTAATGTTAGGCCTGTTCTTTGTAGCTGCACTGCTGAATTGGTGCAATATATTGAAGTAAGACAAATATATGTTTTTTTATTCTAACTTATTGCATTAGTTCAGCAGTGCAGCTACAAAGAACAGGCCTTATAACTATAGATTTTCACACAATGAATATAAAGTCCAGGGCCCCTATTCTTGAAATAGTTGCGTATACATAAATTTTACCGCGCAGGTTTAATCATACCATAAAATAGCTGCGCAGTGAAAATTCGTACACGCAAAAATTTCAAGAATAGGGGTCCAGGTTTAATCATACTATAAAATAGCTGCGTAATGAAAATTACGTATACGCAAAAATTTCAAGAATAGGGTTCCTGATCTACAATAGGTGTAGTAAGCTTTAAGCCTTAAGGGACATCTACATTGGAAGTAAGCAGTAAGAAGTAGGAAGTAAGAATAAGAAATTGACCAATCATAGTTGATTATTCTTCTCACATTCGACTGTGGTTGGTCAATTTCTTACTCTTACTTCCTACTTCTTGCTATTTACTTCCAATGTAGACGGCCCTTCAAGGGACGTCCATATTGGAAGTAAGCAGTAAGAAGTAGGAAGTAAGAATAAGAAATTGACCAATCATAGTTGATTATTCTTCTCACATTCGACTGTGGTTGGTCAATTTCTTACTCTTACTTCCTACTTCTTGCTATTTACTTCCAATGTAGACGGCCCTTCAAGGGACGTCCATATTGGAAGTAAGCAGTAAGAAGTAGGAAGTAAGAATAAGAAATTGACCAATCATAGTTGATTATTCTTCTCACATTCGACTGTGGTTGGTCAATTTCTTACTCTTACTTCCTACTTCTTACTACTTACTTCCAATGTAGACGTCCCTTAATTCTTACGGCGTACTTCTTACTCCAAACTTACTCCGCATATTGTAGACGACGCTTAAAACCAGTGGCACACAATGCTTGTTTTCGTGTTGGTTTGCTTGCTGGATGGAAATACTCTGTTCTGAGGCGCATCTCTGAAGATGGATAGAAATGCACCAATCAAAACAGAGTATTTCCATGCAGCAAGCAATCCAGCACGAAACAAGCATCATGTGCCGCTGGCTTAAGAGTGTTACGTCCCGGCGGGTTGCGGCCACGCTGCCGTGAAGAATAGCGCTCGAACTCTAGCACGGGATCAGATCGCAATTTTTCGAGCTAAATGAATCGCGTGATTCTACCTGGCGATCCGTGCGATCAAGGGTAATTGCGACGGATTTCGCGCAAGACGCGTAGTATAACCACCATAGTATAACTTTACGGTAGGTCGGACAGACGCAGATGTTAATCGTAGTTTCGCGCGTATAGAAACAATGTAGATAATGACTTACCAGTGGTCGTCCACCGCGCGGTTACTCTCTGTACCTCTGGATGACGCTCTCGTGGATCGGCACTTCCTGGACCTTTAGATGTTGCCGACTCTGGGGAACCTCGTTCTGGATCGCGCGGCGGCAAGTTCGAATATTCAAATCACTTGTAGTTGACCGATGGACACTAGGGAGGAACACCGCACGTCGCGGTTTCGCTTAGGCGTAGGAGGAAATGTGTCGTGTAAGGATGTTCGAATGATGGCTTCTGCACACAGGACGCGGTAATGCTTGACGCGCGGCGGAAGTCCGCGCGACAGCCAATCAATATGTTGTTTTTCCGTAAGAGCTAGAAGGTTATTACGGAAAGCAGCATATTGATTGGCTGTCGCGCGGACTTTCGCCGCGCGGCAAGCATTACCGCATCCTGTGTACAGGAGCCATAATTGCGAATGCTTTTCAAAAACATTTCAGCAAAAGTTCATTATATTTTCAATAAATTATTTCCATCAAATACAAGCATCTTAATTGAGATCTCAATTGAAATCTTACATGCGAAATGTTACGGAAATCTCATACGAATTATCAGTTACGATCTCACGATGAAATTTCAATTGAGTTCGGAATTATGGATCTGTCGACAGATTCTGCTCGAATCTGTCACTAATCTGACATCCGTGTGCGCACAGATTGCTTACTGGGTACCATTGTAAAATGGGTTTAAGATTTATAACCTTATAACTCAAAATATTAGTAAAATCAAACATAATTTCCGAGACCGATTTCAGCAAACATACTCTGTGACTTTAATACAATTTACTTTATACGAAAAATTCAGTGTCAATAGATTTAAAAATGGTGAATTTACCGAGTTCATTTAAGCAGAAGAGAATCTAGAGGAAGATGACGAACATGAGAAATTAACTGACGAAGATAACAAGAGTGAATTAACAAATATCCTTAAGAATTACACTAGTTTGCTGCAAGAAAAAGATCTTGTAACAGATACACCTCATAATGAAATAAGTTCTGTGTCTGTATGTAGACGTCCCTAAAGCGTCTTCTACAATGGCAGTAGGAGTAGTAGTAAAAAATAAGCAGTAAGTAAATAGACTAATCACAATCGATTATTTTTGAAACATGAGAATGGAATTGGTCAATTTGCTTACTGCTTATTTCTTACTACTACTCCTACTGCCATTGTAGAGACGCTTAAGACGAGGATATTTTTTCTCACTCTAAAGCTAGCCACACACACTTTTCGTAACAGTAACCGTAAGTCCCGAGCCACAATAGGTGTAGTAAGCTTTAAGCCTTAAGAAATTGACCAATCACAGTTGATTATTTTCCTCAAATTTGACTGTGATTGGTCAGTTCCTTAAGGCTTAAAACTTACTACACCTATTGTGGACCGAGACTAAAGGCTAAATCACACTAACGATTGGCGATAGATGGCGCTGGTTTTGGAGTCTGTGCTCCTTCCTCGGATATTAGGATCTCCATTCCTACCCCCAACTCCAATAATATCTTTCTGGAGGCATACGGAATAACCCATGCTATAGATATCGCTATATCTCTGAAAAGGCAAGAAAAAAGTGGGCATTTTTTTCTGATTCATTAAGACCTAGTTCCACAACCTCCGTTTAACTTTAACTACCGGTTAAGTCTCAACAGTGATTGGTTAATTCTGATTAACTCTTCTTAACGCTAAATGCGATTGGTCAAGTCCAATAGAATAACCGGTCAGTTAACTAAAAGTTGTGGAACTAGGTCTAAGTGTACTTAAGTGTATTAAAGCCATTGACACTTGGGGTAAAAAACCCATAGTCTGTTACGATATTATAGATAAAATTCTTCAAGCCAGAGAACTGGACATAGTATTATGCTCGTGTGGAATTATAAAATTTGAAATATTTCTTCTTGAATATCAAATGGATTTTGTGTATTATGTAACATCCTTCGCATTATTCTGAGATTATTTCTCTCGTCTCGATCATTTATTTCGTTAACAAAAACCAAGAATGCAGCTGCCATGTTGAATAAAATTTTTGCGTAAAAAATTTTAATTTTCATAAATTTTCATAAATTTTTACGTTAAATCTTTCATTTTTCACGAGCTTAGTGAAAGTTTTCATCTTTCACGAATTCATTACAAAATTTTCACTTTTCACGAGTTCACACTAGGGAAAAAAATTCATGATCGTTACCCTGAACGCACCCTTAGAATAATGGCTCCTGCACATAGAACGCAGTAATGTTTGCCGCGCGGCAAAAGTCCGCGCGACAGCCAATCAATATGTTGTTTTTCTATAAGAGCTAGAAGGTTATTACGGAAAGCAGCATATTGATTGGCTGTCGTGCGAACTTCCGCCGCGCGGCAAGTATTACCGCGTCCTGTGTACAGGAGCCATTACGCTTGCCGCGCGGCGGAAATTCGCGCGACAGCCAATCAATATGCTGCTTTTCGTAATAACCTTCTAGCTATTATGGAAAAACAACATATTGATTGGCTGTCGCACGGACTTTTGCCGCGCGGCAAACATTACCGTGTCCTGTGTGCAGGAGCCATTACCGCGTCCTGTGTGCAAGAGTCATAATAGTAATGACGCTAGCAAATCCCGTATAAAGTCTGCATTCTGATATTTACTGCAAATACTGAAAATCTATAGTATACGTGTGTAACGTCCGGATCTATTTTAGAACATTAACAATATATTATTATAGACCGGGAGGCCGACTTGTCTGATTTCAGACATCACTAGATATTTTATCCCTATGTTACTAGATGTAAGTACGTGCGCATATGCATATTCGCGAGCGTTAAAACATTATAATTAAAATACCGAATGCTGCGTGCTGCTGGAGAGTCTCGAAATCAACGGATCGACCCAAAGAAACCGCTATCGCTCAGTGCGATAAGCCAACATAAACATGAGCAAGCCAACATAAACAGGAGCATGAAAACTGAATCCCAAACATCACTCAGGACACCGACGCGGTGACATCATGCAAAGGAATGAATCTCTTCCCTCGCCATAACTCCATGGACCAATCGGAGAACGACTCTCAGCGATAAAGCGACATATAAAAGCGCGCGCATTTGTAGAGAAGGCAATATATATAATTATTTTCTTCTCATAGTTAGTCTCTGGTAGCTTCATGTACTTATTCAGCATATTATACTTAGTCGTAAAATCCGACTGTGTTGCAATTACTTTTGCCTACCCTTCATATTTCAAACGTTGCGAAATCAAATTCTGAATCGCGAGCCGCATCAACCCGCGTGGTATCGGAACATCCGAGGCCGAACCAGGAGAACAAGCACCGCTGATTTTTCGCCAGATTCATCAATCGTTTCGCCAGGCTCCCGAGACCCAGGGTAAACTCGGTGAAAAGCAGAGTGACCCAAAAGCGGAGCCATCACTCTGTTGACCGTCCACGTAAGTCACTGATTTCACTACTTTCAAATTTCCCTATATAGTTATTTATCTTGGACGTAACACGTGACATAGGCCGGTATTCATAGTCCGATCTTATATTTAATAGGCTTTTTTTATGTTCGACTGGCCCTGGGTTAATCGCTCCGAGAGCGATTAATGACGTCATAAGTCTCTACTAGTCAATCATAAAGTTTATAAGTACTTCTTCGATTAATAAACGTAGGCTGAACAATCCAGAGTAGGTTAACCCAGGGCCAGTCGAACATGCTATTAGATCATCTTAAGTACTGTCTTAAGATGTCATCAACCAATCACAGAGCCGTATTTGTATCTTAAAGGTGCCAATACATGGGAGCGTTCCAGCGTCGAGCGTTAAAGCTTTAGCCAATCAACATATCAGGTTCCAGAAGTATACTTATAGTTCTTGCGGGAAGTGGCACGTTGATTGGCTATCGCTTTAACGCTCGATACTCTGATGTAAAGGCATCTTAAGATATTACTTAAGATGAACTTGAAATAATAGCATGTTCGACTGACTGTGGGTTAACCCACTCTGGATTATTCAGCTTACGTTTATTGGTCGAACAAGTATTTATAAATGTTTTATGATTGGCTAGTAGAGACTTATAACGTCATTAATCGCTTTCGGATTAACTTAGGGCCAGTCGAACACGCTATAAAGCGGCACACGATGCTTGTTTTCATGCTGGATTGCTTGCTTAAATTTTCCATTTTTTTTCACAAATTGTTACTAGTTCGTGACTTTCAACATGCCTAGTATCTCGTAAGAAAATTTCAGAACCTATAAAATACAAAAAGCTTAATAAGCTTTATTTATATTTAAAGACAATATTCTGACAATATACATCACTATAGAAATAAACCTAAACCTGGCTGCTACCTACACTGCTGTATTTAAATTTTTTATCTTACCGTGATGGCTAATGGTTGTACGAATGTTTCGAAGAACAAAAAACCATAAATAATTTAGTAATTTCATACTGTATTGCACTCTTTGCGCACTCTCCACCATCTCCACCAATTCACATCGCGCAAAAGAGAGTGGAGAAAAAGTCACACGAGTGGTCCACGGAGTACGGTTTTCGAACGGCCATGGTCTCATGGTCAGTGTGCCCACTAGGGGTTTTCGAACGATCTGAATGTGACAAAATACACACGAGTGATGTTTTCGAACGCACCCCTAGGTGGCGGCGAGAGACGTCACGTATAATGGCTGCGTTCCAAAATTCACTGCCAGTACTGGGGGTCGATTGTATATCTCAAATCGGAGTGAAAATGACAAAAATGAACAAATTTACTAGCATATTTGTAACTTCATTAGACAATGTCTAGTGAATTTGCTCACTTTTTTACTCCGTTTCAAGATGCACAATCGACCCCCTGAAAATCTATAGTTCATGTTACGTATACTATAGAATTTCAGTACTGGCAGTGAATTTCGGAACGCAGCCAATATAAATTTTCAGTACTGTTAGTGAAATCGGAATATAGGGTTTATCGTAACTTATATCGTCTTTTGAAATGCATAAACTTAAAGCAACAATCTCATTGGTCGTTCAGCGAAAGTTACGTATTATGTTTATGGTTAAGTCAAGTGCGAAGGCCCATGTATACAGGCCGTAATCCGTTAACTTATACCGGAATCGTAAAACATTGACAAATCACAGTCGATTATTCTTCTATAATTCGACTATGATTGATCAATTTTTTATGGTTCCAGCATAAGTTAATGGATTACGACCTGCATAAATGGCCTTTAAATGTCCACAGGAGTCAACTATCGATTGTAAGAAAGTGTTACTAAACTACACTTTTCGTAGTACGTACATGCAACAGTTTATTAGCTTGGAACACTTGGAGAAGTGATATTTGCTCATCAAACAATTTTTAGAGCCTTCTTTGCAAATGTTCACGGCAGTCAATATATCAAAGATCGATATTCAGGGGCTGAGTATCGATACACCAATATATCGAACACTAAAACATCGATACAAATATCGAAATATCGGACACTAAAATATCGATATTTGAAATATCGATACTGTATCGCCCATCACTACTTGAAGTTTCTAGCGTGAAAATCGGTGTCGACCGAAACGTATAGCGCTCTCAGGTTTCTCTCTGGTATTATACAGCTGACTGTAAAATACTGTGACCCGGTGTCCGGCAGCAAACTATTGTAAATGATATTCATGACACGTGCTTCGCTGGTAGGAGTGTTGATGGTTTTGTACTTAGCGAGAAGTATTCGTGGACAAACTTATCGGAATATGTCGAGTGTCGCTGGAATGTATTCCGTATCGTACGTCACCGTACCGAATGATACAGTGGCGAAAAAAATAGCTCGGTAAATATTACAACGATACATATACAAAGTCTATACCTTCTCTTCGCATTGTGTAATTGGTATTGACAATTTGAAATATAATATTTGTTTTTAAGGCTGTTTTTCTCACTCTAATTTGGAACAGGGATTGAAATCGGTACTAAAAATACGATTTTTGTACCGGTGTTTTTAGGTATTAAACACAGCAACTAAAAACAAACTAGTTTGTGTAAATGGTAATTGTTCAGAAGAGCTATCTCATCTCCTATTTCGATGAAAATAGACTCAATCGACGCGTTTGTGCATGCCAAATAACTTTTTCCTCTGACAAAATCGTCGCTCTCTACTGCGAAGCGAGATATTAATAGACAAAGTTGAGGGCGTGTTAGGTTAGAAAATCTGTCATACCATCTATCTCTAGCTATGTAACTGCTAAAGCTAAAGAGTGAACTTCTCACAAAAGACTACAGCCCCCACCCCCCGTGATAGGGGGATCTGGGGAGCGAAGCCCCCAGCTACATAGCTAGAGATAGATAATGACAGATTTTCTAACCTAACACGTCCTCAACTTTGTCTATTATCTCGCTTCGCAGTAGAGAGCGACGATTTTGTCAGAGAAAAAAGTTATTTGGCATGCACAAACGCGTCGATTGAGTCTATTTTCATCGAAATCGGAGGTGAGGTAGCTCTTCTGAACAATTACCCCGGCCGATATTATACCCATACCGGTGTATACAATACTGCTATAAATTCGTTAGTATAATTTTGACATTCAATTGCTACTTTAGAACCATTATCAAAAGCCAATAACCCAATATATAACTTTTTTGCTGTTAAGAGGAATATTGTAAGTAGAGGACACTGCGATACTCTTAACATCTTTAAAAAAGAAAACACAAAGATACTACTAATAATGAGTCTTTGCTACATATCGTGATACGTTGACATAAAGTTGAATGGAAGCTTTTACAGATACAAAGTCATACAGTTAAAATCAAAATATTAGTAAAGGTAAATAAGAGCCCAAAATAAGTAATCTTTTCGCTGGTATTATAGTGTACAAAACTTAATCAATTTTACATAATCATAAATAAATTAAAAAACAAACGAAACGTATGTTTCGGTTTGGACTTTCATCAACGCAAACGAAGACTGAATTCAATAATAAGAATAAGAAAACTAATCGTAACATTGAACTGTCTTAGGGTGAAATTACATGGTGCGTAAAAGAGCTGCGGAATAGAGAGTGCGTCATAGAAGGAATAAAGTTCCGAAAATAGTCTACCTCCGATTTTGATGAAACTTTGTGAAAAGCTTCATTTTAGGTTAAAATTAAAGTCTCTAAAAGGATTTTTGGCGACTTTTATAAAACGTAATTTGACGCGTTTTAGTTGTCGCTAGCAAACGTTAGCAAAATTTTAGTAAAAACATATTTCTACTAAATCTTCGCCTTACTAAACATACGAGTCTACAATATATTAAAAATGGATACTGAAAAAATTAGTAAAAAACCCCTACGCAAGGTAAGACGTGAATCACACGCAAGACTAGTATACGTTTAATACGCTATAAAATTAGTCTACGCATTAATCTTTTTTTTATTAGAATGTTGTTTTACGATATTGCTTGAATATTGCTTTGGGAACATTTACCAAAAAATGACTTTTATAAGAGTCGCCAAAAGTCCTTTTTTAGAGGTTTTTATTTTAACAAAAATAACATTCTAAAAAAATAAAAATGCATCTCGTATGATATGTTAAGCGTATGTTGTTTTTGCGAGATGCATTTTTATTTTTTTTTAGAATGTTATTTTTGTCAAACCGGGGGGACTTTGAATCTCCCCTGGACCTCCATGAGACCTCGGGTCTTATATTTGTCGTTGCTCTACAGTGAAACAAGATATTAAAGTTATACATTATTTGAAGTTTGGGTATGGAGGTCCGTTAGATCTTTTCTAAATTAAGTCTTTTATTTTAATTCAATTTGTTTTTTCTTACGCTACATCGGCTTTCAAATAATGGATGTTGGAGACAGGTCGAGAATATTTGTTGTTTTCCTGTTTGTCACAATCAAATCGTTTTGTAATAATTGCGTTATCAAGTAATTATATTGCGTATAAGACAGTTTAATGTTACGATTAATGTTTTCTTACTCTTATTGTTGAATCCTGTCTTCCTGTCTTCCTGTCTTTCGTTGATGAAGGTCCAAACCGGTAACCGAAACATTACGTTTACACAACGTTTTATTTGTTTTTTAACTTACTTATGATTGTATAAAATTGATTAATTAAATTCTGTACGCTACAAGCGCTATTCGCAATTAAATTCTGTACCAGCAAAAAGATTGTTTTTGGTCTCTTATTTGCCTTTACTAATATTTTGATTTTATATCTCAAGAGCCTTTAGTATTTAATCACTTAATACATTGTAATTGCAGAAATATTCCAGACAGCACACAATATATTTACAAAATATTTTAGAAATATAGATATTAAATATTTTATAAATATTCAAATGTCTTAGATTTTCATGTATAAAAAAGATTATAATAAATATTTAAAAATATTGATGAAAAACATCTTTCATAAATACTTTTATTAAAAAAATTATTATTTATGAAAGATTTATGATAAATATTTTTCATAAATATTTTTAAATATTTTTCATAAATATTTTTAAATATTTATCATAATCTTTTTCATACCTAAAAATTTCGAACATTAGAATATATATATATATATATATATATATATATATATATATATATATATATATATATTTCTAAAATATCTTATATCTATATTTCTAAAATATTTTGTAAATATTGTGCTGTCTGGGATATTATTAGCCCATTTAAATGGCAAGATATCGGCTCTTGTTAGTTGCATTAAGTTTGTGAAATATACAATTGGTCTGTTCTTTTTAGATAGTTTAGTTAGCTTTTTAGCTGCACTGCTGAACTAGTGCAATGAGTTAGAGTGAAACAAATATACTTTCTTTCACTCTAACTTATTGCACTAATTCAGCAGTGTAGTTAAAAAGAACAGAGCAAATCTCAAATTAGATATCTTATTCTATTCCAAACTGTCAATGTAAACTTTACTCTCTACTACAATAACTAAAATATACAAATGCTTGATCTATGTGTACAATCGGCGTTGGAAAGGTTGTCCGGTTTTTTTTACTTCTGGAATGCATCTGTCTTGTCCAATGAAAAAATTCTTTTATTGATCAACAGATTCTTCTATTAGACAAAACGAATGCCGAATTTCGAAAGTCACAAAAAAGATCGGACCTTTCTGATGCTGATTGTATATATGTTATTAGAGAAATATATACAGATTTTTTTACATGTTATATTTAAATAATGTTAATTAAATGTAATTATTTTTATTACATTTAAATAATGTTATTATTAAGTTTTTTATGAGATATTTACAGCATTTTCTTTTTCTTTCATAAAGTGGCTTGGTTGAGAATAAACTTGCTGCCTGCGTTAATATCATTCCACAGCTGATATCTGTGTAAGTTACTCCTATTTGTTACACATAATATTTTTATATTTATCAAAAGAAAATTCTAGCAATGGATTTCTAGTTCTATTTTTATTTAATATGCTTTTAATGAAGAAAATATTATGATTTTATAGGTACGAATGGGAGGAAAAAATTCAAGAGGAACCTGAGCTTCTATTGGTTAGAAAATTGTTTGATTAAAATTTAAGTTAAAAAGAATATAAATGATAAACTTAAATGTAAATGATGGACTTGGTTTCACTTATTTGGTTGTATGTAAATTACAGATGATTAAAACTAGAACAGAGACAGTGGATGCTTTAACAAAATATGTAAAGTAAGTCCAGTTACTATATCTTTTACTACACACACGCACACACATACACGCGCGCGCGCGCGCGCACACACACACACACACACACACACACACACACCTCATGTACTTTATATTAGAACTATATTAATTCTTAATGTTTAATTTTTTATACAGAGAGAATCATCCATATACAGTTTGCGAAGTAATTTCACAGCCCGTAAGTTAATTTTTATGTCACAATCTAAAAATTTTTATTAGCTTTTGAAAACGTTAATTATCCAATTTACTTTAAGCTTTATAAATAGACTTCTTTTAAATAAAGAAGTATCCGAGAAGCATTTTTTTGCGACTTGAAAGTTAAACTTTAAAGTTTTTTTTTTTTGTATTTTCTATATAGTATCTTAATATATCTTAGTCGGCGAAAAGGTTGTCCGATTATTTTTTATGACTTTCGGAACACATCCGTCTTGTCCAATGGGAAAATTCTCTTACTGACCAATAGATTCTTCTATTGGACAAGAACAGATTCTTCTATTGGACTGAATACATTCCAGAAGTTATAAAAAAAACCAGATTTGACACCGATTATACATCTCAACAATAATGTTTACTCTAACTACACTTATTTATCAAGATTATAAATAACAATCAACAAGTTTAAACTATTGCTAAATGTTTATTAAAAATGTATTATTAAAAAAAATATCGAATATAAATATACATTCGGTTATTAAACGGTTTATACATATTTTTCTGAATGCGGTTTTTCAGCGACTCAAATGTTGCCTCAAATCTTTTGGCACCCGATTTTCTGAAAACAATATCTCACAAGCTATTACGAATATCGCAAAATAATATGGGACTTTCTTGTTCATCGCAATCCGTTTTACGCTCTCGCGAAGTTCAAGAACGGTCATCTGGGATACCATATATACACACACAGGGTGTCTTAAAAATATGGGAACTCCTGAATATCTTTTTATAGTGAGGTTTTTCGATAAAATTTTCAAAAGTTGTAGGATTTCAAAAACTGAATCTGATGGTGACCTTAAAATTGACCTTAAGTTTGATCTTGAAGGCCATTTCAAGGTCAACTTTATTTTTTCAAATTGAACATGCATATTTTCAGATTTATTGACGGATTCGGAATCTATGCCAAAAACTGAGAAGTTTTTGTCTGAAACATTTTTTTCAGAAAATGCTCCCTTTGACCTTAAAATGACTTTCAAACTTCACGGTTTTTCTTAAAAATATGGGAACAATGCCATCAGCGGTCGCACAATAGCGGATGTTTTGACTTCGAAATGACCCCCGATGGTCATCCTGACCCAAGGGTCAAGGTTCCTATTAAAAAAATAATAATTAAGAAAATTCTATTAAAAATATAGGAACCCCTGAATATCTTTTTATAGTGAGGTTTTTCGATAAAACTTTCAAAACAAAAGTTGTAGGATTTCAGAAGCTGAATCTGATGGTGACCTTAAAATTGACCTTGAAGGTCATTTCGAGGTCAGCTTAATCTTTTTTAATGGGAACCCTGACCCTTGGATCAGAATGACCATCGGGGGTCATTTCGAAGTCAAAGCATCCGCTATTGCGCGACCGCTGATGGTATTGTTCCCATATTTAAAAAAAAAAACCGTGAAGTTTGAAGGTCATTTTAAAATCAAAGGGAGCATTTGATCTGAAAAAATGTTTCGGACAAAAACTTCTCAGTTTTTGGCGTAGATTCCGAATCCGTTATGAAAATATGCATGTTCCATTTGAAAAAATAAAGTTGACCTTGAAATGGCATTCAAGATCAAACTTAAGGTCAATTTTAAGGTCACCATTAGATTCAGTTTTTGAAATCCTACAACTTTTGTTTTGAAAATTTTATCGAAAAACCTCACTATAAAAAGATATTCAGGGGTTCCCATATTTTTAAGACACCTTGTATATGCACATATACACATATGCATACATACACACACACACACACATTAAAATACACAGGTTGCTGAAATATTACATAGTTGGAATATAAATTATCCATTTCCTAACATCTATAGATATTTAGGCTGTCCCAAATCACCATACTCATATTCCGCAAGAGTATAAAACGAATTGAGGTGAACAAGAAAGTCCCATACGGTTTTACAATATTCGAGATATTAATTAAAGAAAATTTGTAAATAAACACACGTGATATAGTAGATGACCTATAGTGGCGACGTTTGCCGTCATGTCCATTAAGTCAAATTAAACCAAAAAGTTATATATTATTTTGTACATAATTACGTAGATTCTTGGTTATTAAGTTTGTTAGTGCATTATCGCGTATAATCATGCACCGATCTTTTTTAATTCAATCAAATTTATTCTTCCTTCAGCATAAGCCAAGAAGTAGGGACTTAGTTTACAATTCCTGCCTTAGCTCACACACATTTATCCCATGCATACATCCCTTTCTTCGTTCGACTTTCTCTAACTTAATCTAATCTCTTTTAAATCTACCCAATTCTAACTTTGTATATTATATTTCCTCAACTATTATATTTTCCAGTTCTTTATCCTTTCTCCATTTTTCCTTCCTTAATTTTTTTGCTTTTTCTTTTTCTATCCATAATTTATTAATTGCCCATCCTTTTTTTCCATTTAACTCTTCATCCCAAAAATCTTCTTTACTCATTCTTCTTTATTTTTTTCCAAATCTTTGAACCACTTCCTTGCTATTTCACATTGCTTCACGAAGTGATTTATACTATCTCTACTTTTCTCTCACACAAAGTACAAATTCTAAATTTTTCATCGAACTAATATTTATTATTTTCTTTCATATTACCACATTTAATCTTTATTAAAGCGTTCTTATTCTTTGTTCCTGATCTTGTTCCCGAAAAGGAGGGACACCCATTGAGAATAATTATATCTTCTGTTAATAGCTCTCTTTATAATCTTGCGGTTTTTTTGCATAAAATTATTTATCAAAAAATTCCCCCGGCAAAAAATAAAATTAATAATAGCTTTGATCTGGTTAACAATCTTGCATTTAAACATTTCGAGGAACATCTTAAACTGGTTTCTCTTGATGCTATCTCTCTATTTACTAATATTCTATTTAGCATTGGCGTCGGTAGACAAACGTTGGCATTATATTGTCGATTCTATTGTAATTTCTCGCAACGAATTTTTGTTGGCTTTGGAATTTGTTCTCAATTCTACATTTTTTACTTTTGACAATATAACTTATAAACAAACTTTTGGTAGTCCAATGGGCTCCCCATTGTCTCCTATTATTTGGAAGAAAGAGTTATTAACATGATTCCTGTGACATTGCCTTTTTATTTTAGATATGTTGACGATATTCTTTTAGCGACTTCTAAGGAGTTTTTGGATAACATATTGCACATTTTTAATTCGTCCCATCCTCGTCTTCAGTTTACAATGGAGATAGGAGATGACTGTATTAACTTCTTAGACACTACACTGTTAATACGTAATAACGCAATTATTTTTTACTGGTATCATAAACCAACGTTTTCTAGTCGATACCTTAATTATTTGTCTTTCCACCCTATTCAACACAAGATTGGCATAATTATTGGTTTGGTTGATAGGATGTTTTATCTTAGTCATCCTTCTTTCCATAAGAAAAATTTGGATTTTATTATTTTGATGTTAATTAATAATAATTATT